GCTCATCTTCCAAGCCAGAAACCAGTTCTTTGATGGAAGATGTGATGCTGCCTCTGTCTCTGCTTTGTTGGCCACTTTGGACGGGGCGGAGCTCCGCTCCTTGCGTGAGCGGCTATTCGCCTGTCATCCAGAAATAGTTCCTTCGTTTGCTGGCCGTTCCCTGATTAGGTGCAATACGGGGAGCTGTAATCAGGGAAGTAACTTTCCATATGAAAGGGGTGCAGGTGCACCCCCGTCCCCCATCCACTAGAAGTGCACCCCCATAGGCTAAGCGGCGCCCCACACGCCGCCCCACACGATTAGCTCTAGAGCAGATGGCGAGGGTGATTTCTCGGCTACATTCCATCTCGGCGTCGTGATGCTTGTGGGCTTGGAAAGCGTCCAGTCGTATGTAGGGTAGTGTAGGGGTAGGGTTGAGTTCAATAAGGTCCTTACATTTGAAAGGTTTGAACAACCCGCAATCAGCACAACATACCACAAGTTAAATAAAAAACTACCAAACTCCGCCCAACTAATATTAATAAACATTACAGCCAAACCAATGGCCATAAAAATATATCTCAAATCCTAACAGTTATCGCGGGTGATGGCGCCATGAGTTGCTATTATCCAAAACAGATGCAAATAAACATGCTTGTATGTCCTATGTATGTTTGTTTTAAAAACGTTGCAGCGGCGCTGGGAACTGCAGTCTTAGATCTGGGTATGTTTGGCATCTGCAACTCTTCATATACACATTAACCCTATTTCGGACGGGGAGACCTTTCAGGATTTTCTTGTACAATTGCTAAACGCCGCGAGACATTCAGCTCATATTTGGTGACTTTTCCTAAATGCTCATTGCGCACATCTCAGCAAAAAAAAAAAAAAATGCCGGGTCAGGTCAGGTCAGGTAACCAGAGCGGGTTTGTTGACCCCACCTCAGAAAAGTTTGCAAACACGTCAGAGCTTGAGTTTTTCACGAAGTTATTTCCTCTCATCAAGTCTTCAAAATAGTACCTGCAGTATGTGTCGTTTGTATATCTCAGAATTTTTTATCTGTGACCTGAGGTTAGGTCAGAGTCGTGACCTTTACATTGCAAGCCTATGGAAAAGTATTGAAATGCGACCTGCACCTCGAGTAAACGAGTCAAAACCACCCAATTCTTTAAGAATTATGACAAATTATCTTATCTGTAATGATCCAGGTGCCATTTACTGACAGGGACACCGGAGAGGGTTATCTGAGCCGAGATCATGTGAGGTGATATCTACCATACATCAATGCTCACAATACTTACAATATTGACAATGCTTTTGCTTACAACACTTACAATACTTACGATGAGACCAGCAAGCACTCTGCCGTTACAGTTCTAAATTCTGTTTCGAAAAACGACGTTACACACATTCGCTGCCAGCATAACATGTATTGTTTGACAGTAACAAAATACAATTGACATCTGAACACCAAACGGACCGCCATCCACTCAAATTTTATAACCCTGACCGGTCAGGGGCGAATGGAGGTCATTTCCTGGGCATTACACTCAGCCCTTGCACAAAATATCTCACCTCACAGTGATCATTACAACAATAGCACCGACTTGATAGTGGATTTCAAAGTACTTGCATCAGCTCTTCCTGCTATTGCAGACGATCATCTCCTCAGGGTAATGTTGTTCGGGACATGAACGAAGATCGTTTTCGGAGTTTCATAAGTGCTACTGCAACAGCCTGGCACAAAACAGGACTTGTACGCTCTTCTCTGCACTTTGCCCTTCAGTATATCACAAAAAATTGTTTAGAATCCATCTTACGCTTCTTTCACAGTCTCCCTTGCCACCGTAGGGCGTAGATAGATTGCTGTTGCTGGTAAGTTAAGGCACGGTAGATAGAAATTACCTCGGCTCTCAACGTCTTAAGTTATTTTCATAAAAAAGAACAAGTAAATGATCAATAAGATGACAGGAATGTAAACATTTTAATCGTTAAGTAGTCCAAATATTGGAATGAGCTTTTGCTTTTCAGCATCCTCCGATTCATCATCTTTATCATTTGAAAATTCGAGGTACATAAAATGTTTATCACGCGCTCATGTTAAGTGGGAATATAGTACACGGCAGACACATCAATTTTTGACACTGAACATTTCATCCGTAAATGTTTTAGCATAATTTAAAGTTAAAAACAGCGCGAATGGCAGAGTGAAGCAAACAACATCTTTCACCCATTGATATAACATGTAATCTGTGGTGCGCCAGATGCGCCATTATTTGTCAACCGCAGAAGGTGACATGTGACGTAACAGCATCAAGAGCATCTTTTTTCAAGAACTTTTCAAAACAAGTTTCCTATCTTTCTTCCCCCATTTCTCTCAGCTTATTGATTTTACGAGGCAATGGAATGCACCATAAATTCTGTGAAAATAGTTTGATCATTTTCATGCATTCTTAAAAAATCGAGTTCCCAACCCCATTGTTCGAGCAAGACGTCACATCCCTACGGAAAAAATAGTCAAACAACCAGCTAAGCTCTCCTACATTCTCCGCAACTTGAATAACACTTCAATAAGTTCCTGTTTCTTATAAATTATTCTAACAAAAGTTTTACATTTGTTTATTTATGTAGTATGCAAGACCGATACCTTATGACGCTTATAAAATCACACATTTGTTTCAGGAGCTTGTGCTAAGATCAATGCCATCAAATAGCACGACCTACCCCAGAAAACGAATACAACTGTTCATGAGTGTTGAGTGTTCACCCATCCCTGATTGCATGATACTGGCGTCAAATGAAAACTTCAAACATACCATTTATGCGGGTATGCGACAGCTAACTTTGTAAAAGCCTATTCCATGAAAGCAGATTGCTCTAGATATGACTTCGTCGGAGCAAATATCGCTATGCGCATTATGCTGATGGATTTAGCTCAGACTTACACGATTTAACCCTTGACAGAAACCATTCGTTGGCCCAGTTCAGCGTTCACGCATACGGAGGTTCCGAAGTTAAAGCATGGTATTATCAGATGTGATGTATTACGGATGTTGAGCATGGCTGTAGATGCTTTTATTGAGTTTGATGTTTCACGTCTGAAATTGTTTTATCTTTTAAATTTGCACGCGATCAAGTGTGAAATGCGTTATATTTCAAATTTAGGTTAAAAATCTTCTGCTTCAAATAATGAACACATTACACACGCTATAGGCATCCATCCATGCTCTGGAGAAGTCCGTTACGACACAGTGTCTTCTCTTTCTATTCTACGGCATTTTTCGTCCCATCCATACCCTGATGATCATCGCATGTGCAGTAAATGCACATTGCACAACTCGCATATAACACTTTCTAGGCACATAGCAGTTTGCACAGACCACGGAGAGTGCAATGCGCATGTAACAAGCACATGCACGCCAGCTTACTGGTATGTATGCACATAGACAACGAGTGATGGACCATGTGGGCCATGAGTCGGAGTTCGATGTCGCATTACGACAGCATCATGTACAAACGAGTTCGGATATTCACTCGGCCCAAACTCGGCCCAAACCGATATACGCTTACGCATTGGGCACATAAGCGCCCCCGACTTTCATGATTCATCCACTTCCAGGATGCTAAAGCGGTACCGTGACCACTTCCCAGCGGGAAATATTTGCCATATCCCTCTCATATCGCCACGACGATCCGTGACGTCACAGAATCGTGATGTCACCGACCTCTGACGTCATCAGTCTGAAAGGTCAGCGATCTATGACGTCACCGAGCGAATACCGTGACGTCTCGGCCACACCTTCGGGTCTCCCTCCACCATTCACGTCAGGCTGGCCCCGTCTGACACTGCGATGACACGGTAACCTAACCTTGTCTGACACGGTGTCATGACACGGAGAGTGGAGGTCGCGTGTGTCCTGCTAACACTGAGCTCCGGGAAACGGATGTCCTACAGGGCCCATGGGAAACTGCGACGAAAAGGCTGAGCTAGCACTGCGCCGGATTGGGGTCGGCCCAAGGGAGGGAGACCGCTGGAATCTGGGGAGAGAGGGGGAAGGGAGAGTGGGGAGGAGAGAGAGGGGGATTGGGGCAGGGAGGGGATCGCCGGTGTAGGAAGCACCGCTTTCACGCGCAGTGGTTCGGAACGAAACAGCTCGAAATCGAGCAGGAGCGAGTTCCCAATGAAATGGCTGCTGCTCTGAGAGATAAAATCTTCCGGACCGAAAGAGAAGCGATGGCGATCGCGGACTGAAAGAAAGCGATCGTAACGTGAGCATTGGCGATCAATTGTCGCTTCGTTGAAGTGCCTGACCTGGCTAGCGGCTCACCCACAGCACAGTTGGCAAATGGTCCTTGCTCTGTGGCGTAGGATAGCCATTCATTCAGATAAACATTTGCAGTTCCCAGCAAGTGAGCACTCGACAATGTAACAAACCCAAACGTATTTGATGTGTGTCTCAAGCAAGCGTGGCCGTGCGCTGTAGTGCTATCTGCTGTTTTGGCTCTCGCTCCCATTTTTTTGTCATTCAGCGTCATCCTGAGATGCGTTATCTGACAGTCCAGATAACTATTCCACCCACCCGCACGTGTTTCCTGGGTGGGGAATAGAGGTGGCAAAAGATGAAAATTTTGGGAACCAGACTCGAACCAGACCCGGCTGGACATTTCTGGAACCAGTCGGACCCGGTATTAGTTGGAATCAGAACCAGTTGGACCCGTTCCCCAAAAGTCAACTAATACAAACTACTTATAGGTATCATTAGTTGCATCATGTAAAACAGCCTATTTCCCACTGGGAATACTCATGAGCTTCTGTGTGCAAAGAAACATTCACTTCATTCACTTCATATTTTGCAATAATGTGTAGTGTGAAAGATGTACAGGTTATGGTTGGACACGGTTGGACCCGTCAGAAAATTTCCAGGAACCGGTCTGGACCCATATGGGTCCAGACTGGTTCTTTGGACCGGGTCCTCGGGTCCACATTTTGCCACCTCTAGTGGGGAAACACTCCAACTTACCTCCTAGTAGAGCGTCGCCTGCCCATCGTTCACCCGTCCTGGTATTTCGCTGCGATATCCTGTAGCCACAGCACTGGCTCGTGTCTCACAATCCAGTGTCACTACACATGCCAGAGCCCCACGGCCCACCAGCACGCCCGAGCGACTGACTCAAATGGCAGTGTCGTGCGGTGCGCCGGGCGGGCTACCCGCGGTGCCCCAGGCGGCCGTGCCGGGCCGTAAGGGCGACTCGCCGCCCAAACAACGGCCATTCTCGCCCTTACCGACAGAGCTCTGCACGCCGTCTGGAAACCGGACAGGTTTGCACGGAAGAGGTACAGGGGAGAGTGGGGAGGGAGGGGATTTCGCGTAAGTACAATGGATCAGCTGATGGTTGGTTGAGCGATGGTGACCTTGGTGACACAGAAAAGAACTCACCGCGTGTGACGTGTGTCATTGATAATATCACCATCGGAACATCAGTGGATGGCGACGTCACATATGAGCTGCAGCACCACGGACAATGGAATAATGATGCAGTGGATGGATACGTGCACTATGACTAGCAGGTGCGTGAAGGTTCGTTTTTATCGGGTGAAACAGTGATCAAAAAACCTTCGCTGCGACGGTTGCATGATCGATTCTGTTTAATTGAGCTGTGTCGTGGAATTCCAGCATGTTCGTAACCCTTGGCAGGGAATGAAATAAAAATTACATTTTCTATGTTCTCACTATGAGTTATGGGTAAGCCTCACAATAGATCACGCTTATACAAATTTCGAAAGCATACGTTGATAGTAGACCACACGTGATAACAATGACATCATAATTTTACACAATGATGTGCTTTTTTCAGGTGTTTCCCTAAAAAAGTTTCCAATCTTGCATGCTAGTAAAAAAAAGAGGAAAAACACAAGAAATGCACCATACACAAATAACGCATGCAAGACGCGTCGAAGCATCGCCAGATTGCCTTATAAAAATTGTTAACGATGATCACTGAAGCTGTTGACAGGAGCCGTGCCGTGCTATCTCGAAACGAGTCATGCTCAGCGTTTTGTGCGTTAGCCCCCGTTTTCATTTCTAGGGAGACGGGTCGGGTGTGAAGCATTATCAATAAAAAAGATCCTATGAAATCGACAGCTCTTGGCCTTCAATTTGATAATGAGCTCGAAGACGTGAACTTTTCCCCATGGTAGATGTAATTCGATTGAGTGCAATCCCATCGAGTGCACTCAATCAAACGTGACACTGACATCTCCCCGGAGTATTGCCATCCAACCATCTCACTAACAAACCAGTCTAGAACGGACCTCAGTATAAACATGAAGTGACTCGGGGGAATATCGTCTATGACTCACACTTCATTCCAACTTGTTACCGGAACTGAAACCGCCACTATCTTCTCCGAATGACCACTCTTCCCCCCCCCCCCGAGCGGCCGCGTGGGAGAAATCAGGTCAGGGTCATACGGTCAGTTGGGGTGCATAAGAGAGTCACGGGACGGAGGGGATTCCAAGAGTCCACGCAGGCGATTGGTGACTGGAGGTGACCGGTCCGGGTGTGATTATGGAAACGGAGAGGAATTCCCGACGGAAATGGCCGGTGTCGGCGGAATTTAGAGTACGGAGCAGAGTGTATTGAGGACAGACAAGGAGGACGGGTGAGGACAGGGTGAGGATAAGCGTGTAAGAAGGAGGACGAGAAGAGCTGTGATGACAAGACGAGACAAGAGACGAGACAAGAGAGAGAGAGAGAGAGAGAGAGAGAGAGAGAGAGAGAGAGAGAGAGAGAGAGAGAGAGAGAGAGAGAGAGAGAGAGAGAGAGAGAGAGAGAGAGAGAGAGAGAGAGAGAGAGAGAGAGAGAGAGAGAGAGAGAGAGAGAGAGAGAGAGAGAGAGAGAGAGAGAGAGTGAGAGAGTGAATGGAAGAGGATGGGAAAGAGAAATGATAAAGGTGAGGAATGAAATGGGAATTGATGATAAGAATAGTCCAGCAAGTAAGAGATGCGAGGACGGGCGAGTTGTGCGAATAGTATGGTCCTAAAATATTGAGAGTACGAGGAATGGTGATAGGGAGAGGGTGAATATAGCCAGGGCTAGAACTGAAAGGCAAGGACAAGGAGTGAAAGGGACGAGGTGGGATAAGACTTGCCGAAGTAGGTCAGTAAAGGACCATTATCCATTCCGTCTCCTCCAGCCATCGAACAGAAGGGCCTTGCAGCTGCCGGCTGGCTGCAGTCGGTCAGAGCGGCACTTCAGTTATTCACCCTGCAGCAGACTGTCCATTGGTGCAGAACACTCTCCGCCAGTTAGGTGGGACTGGCCACACAATTGTACCACGGTCACAGTCATCCCGCCTGCCTGCCGTTGGCCCGTTTGCAGTGGCGTTTTGGGCCACAAAGGTCGCTGAAGGTCGTGGATGACGGACTGAAATGTCATTTGACGCAGCCTCGGTCGTGTTACAAGTCAGGAATAGGTGACAACCATATATCGACATCACAAGATTTCCACATACGGTGTGGCGATTATATCAATGCAAAGACATCTCTTATGGTAAAAAGCAAGTGATCATCTGGAACAGTTACATGTCTCATACTAGCCTCTACCGCCAAAAGGATATCTATCCAACACATACCTACCACGCACGTGTATTGAGCCGTGCAAAATAGCGGAATTGACTTTGGGGAGCAAAAGTTTGTCGTGTCTTGAAGCGTTAAAACCGCAAGCTTCTGAGAAACTAAGTAGCAGTCAGCTTGAGTTATACCTAGAACGGCCGCCGGGTGCATCGCATCTTTCTGTTTGGGTTAATCATCAGACAAAGTTATGGTGGCAACCAATTCAAACTGGAGACATAATGTTCGGCATTCTAAATAATCCATTATAACTGTCTAACGCTGTTATTCATTAGTTCAAGGAAGTGGGATGAATCAAATCGAAAGAATCTAGCCAAAGTAAAGCAAAACATGCCTCAAGACATCGACACAATGAAGTTGAATGAGGCGTACATATTAAGTATTATAATCAGCACCGACATAGTCACTGTCTTTTTTCGTATGCGTATTTTCTCAAGTGAAACATCAGACCCCACTAAGCGCGCTGTAGACAGTGCGATTTTATCTGAAGGGACTTACGAGTTCCATAAATTCTCTGAACCAGACAGAACTAGTTCAAGCGCCGCGCCGAGCTACCATCTATCTTATCTTATAAACCGCGGAGGCGAGGGGCCATGCGACACGTGCTGAGACAACCTAATACGGTGCCATTGGTAAAGAGGTCACTACAAAATTGATAAACATTTGACCGCATGTTTCGTTGAACAGTTTGTATTTATGCCTGACTATAGAGCACTGTATATAGTGGTCACTGGTCTATGAACCAATCTTTTTCTAATTGCGTTTGATGGATAGAGGTGGGCTGGGGATTTTCGCAACTGCAATCGATCGGGAAACCACTTCCCAATCCAGATACAAACAATCTTTAGTAATTCCCCAGAGACGCTGGCACATTTCAAATACTGAAGTAAGCTGCATCGGATTATGTCTTAGATAACATCTTATATATAAAGATATGATATCAAATATGCCTATGCTGTTGTGATATGTGACAAAGGCAAACCTAGACGGGTACAGTGCACGTGACTCAACAGTGCATATTTTGCACGATCCGCTGGCGCAGCTCCAAAACTGCCTTTCACATATCGCGAAAACACGGTTGTTACGCATTGTGGGCAGTACCAATACACACTTCAGGGATAGAGGTCTGCACTCTTTACCCCTCACCCATCAAACATTTATGATCTGGGACGGTAAAAACAGTTTAACCATGTAATGTATCCCCTTATCAGAAATGTCGAAAACATTTTGGGATAAGATCATAACTCAAGCATTTCCACTTATCTTCTCACTAATATCTAAAACATCGTGAACCTTTCCCAAAGACCACTCAATACGAATACCGATGCACGTACCTTTTTCCGAAAATGGCGCGGATGGCCTTCCTCGTTCGCCCGTTGCCGCCCATGGCTGCGGGTGCGGTCACCTCCTGCTGAGTCCGCCTGAAGGGGAGCACTGGGTGCTCCCTCGGAGATCCCCTGGTCGCACCGTCACGGCCGCGGTTCGACACACCACTATCGGTCTGCACCGTGACAGCGGCACCAGCCGCGAGCCGCAGGCGCTCGCCCCAGCTTCCGCCCTCGTCCGTCCACAATCCACACCCTGCACCGACCGGGGGGGGGGGGAGGGGTGGTGACGTGGTCTCGGGGTGGGGGGAGTGGTGATGAATATTGAACATCGAACATCGCCCGCATGGTTATAATAGGTCTGGACGAGCTGGGGATGATTGTTTGGTGAGTATTGATATTTTACACAAATAAAACTGTCGTTTTTAGCTGTTTAGAAACATGGTTATCCATCGCCGTCCAATCTTCATTTAATTTTCCAACAATGCCTCTTGATGTTGTTGAAGGTACTTACATACCTAAATACTAACCGTTTTCACGACGGCCATCTGGTACAGATTTGGTGCAGATTTGGTCAATTTAGGTCCAGTTCGTTTGAAAAGTTATCAGTTTGGGCTGCGCAGATGCTTACCTATATACCTCATTTTTAAAACTGTCAGACATTATTTTCGATTAAAGCACTGGAATAAATTCATGAGGATAAATGATAGCAATATAAATGAATATTAACCATGAATAAATTGATGCTATAAAGATATTTATTGTAAAAGAGATTTGGTACAAATTTGGTCAAATTAGGTGCAATTGCGCAAATGGTCTATCTATAGATAGATCGTCGTGAAAACGATTATAGTATGATTTTCGTGCCCACGGTTTACGCAGATTTTCGCAAAAAAAACACCTCAGCTCAATGATGACCTTATCTCCCGGGTCTATAGTAGCCGTTTTCACGACGGCCATCTGGTACACATTTGGTGCACATCTGCCATCTGGTACAGATTAGGTGCAGATTTGGTCAAATCAGGTTCAGTGTGTCTCTTAGCAGCTACCAGCTGGGTTGCACTTATTGCTTATATGCCTGCTTTGTCATATTATCAGAGAGCATCATCGATTAAAACACTGAAATAAATTCATAAAATGAAGATATTTGCTGTAAAAGCAATTACTATAGGTGCAGATTTGGTCAAATCAGGTGCATTCGCCGGATAGCCCGTCGTGAAAACGGCTAGTATGACCTTGGTGATTACACAATACACATCCGTCTTGAAAAGAACAAAGTGCAAAGCGCACCCATTGCCCCGCACTCTGCAGCAATCAGGAAGGATCAAATGCAGCGGCCCGTAGGGAAATTCTGTCCCATAAACCACTAAACGCGCCAGCACCTTGACGTCATCAATTTCAACGCAGGCTCAAGATGGCATTACTGCGGCACTTACGTAAGTAAAATGCTTAAAATCCAACACTGTGAAATGCATCATGTTCGAAGCATTTCGACCTTGCTGGAAGGGTTTCTTTGTGTTATTTGCTTATCAGTGATTTCTAACTATCAACTTAGCATCTTTTTCGATGTCTTTCTTTTTAAGCAAAATTGCGTTGTGGTTAAATGGCTCGAACAACCATACTTAGGCTTATAAAGTACCGGAATATAAAAGGAGGTTTACGAGACACACGTCAACGGGTTTCATATTTGACTATTTTCAACTATGTAAGCAGCGTTATAATTTTTTACAGAGTTTTTTAAGCTTATCTGCCATTTCAATGACTTGTATGTTTAAATCTATGCACCTATCAATTCTACTCTCTCTCTCTCTCTCTCTCTCTCTCTCTCTCTCTCTCTCTCTCTCTCTCTCTCTCTCTCTCTCTCTCTCTCTCTCTCTCTCTCTCTCTCTCTCTCTCTCTCTCTCTCTCTCTCTCTCGCTCGCTCCTCGCGCGCGCCGCAGGTTGCGTGCATTTTTAGATACTGGTATCAGTGGCAGATTACCTGCGTATCGCTCTGCTTCTCACGGAACTGGTATGCCCGCCGTTTTATCTCAGTATAACTGCCAGCTGGGCCTATCAAAACACATTTAGACTGTCGTCAGAAAATCCACCTGATACGAGAAAAACACTAAACGCTAAATAATGAATTTAAGATGAAGAATCAAGGCCATAAAAGACGCGCCCATCGGCTAATCCTATTCGTACCTTATCATTAATTCGTTGTGTCTGCTACTACCAGAAGCTTGGTAGGTATAACTACGCCTGACACGTCTACAAAAATACGAAGTTTGGTGATGGCAAAATACAGAAAAGGCTTGGAAACGCGCCTAAGTCATTTCATGAAACATCCCTAGAACGCCTAGGGGGGGTTGTATCAACCCCCCCCCCCCCCTGAGGTTTTTTCAAAGTGCACGCTAAACGGCTTGTCGTAGCGGGCTGAAATTTTCAACACCCTCTGGGGCAACCTTTGCGCATCTTTTGCCGAAAAAAAAATGATCGGGTCATGTCAGGTCACGGAGTTATGACGTCATAAGAGGTACAGCCTCCGGCCGGATTTTCACAAACTGAGTGCCAACGCCCGAGGTTTCCTGCCGGTGGTACGGACATCGGTTGATGGATCGTGATGAAACTTCCCATGCATGTTGGGGCAAGTATTGGCTATCATATGGTATAAGAAATTTGACCGGGTCAGGTCAGGTCACGGAGCTATGACGTCACAAGAGGAACAGCGTCCGGTACTATTTTTGAAAAGCGCCCGAACCACTATTTTGCTAATTCTTGTCACCTCAATGGGAATATGCAGCAATATTAGCTTCTATAGGGAGCAAATGGACCTCCCAAATCCAAAAATACAATCAGATTTCAAAAATTTAAATTTTGATTTTTCGAATTTCTGCCGCCGACTGTGACCTTGCCGACTTCCGGCGCTCCCAACGCGCCATTTTTAGAGCTAGGGAAACGAAATACATACCAAACGATAGAGAATTGATCAAGGAACACGATAGTGAAGGTTTCAAGTCGATATCTCCCACCGTTTTGCCGCAATCGCCGCCGAAAGTTGAAAAAAGTCTATTTTTCCAAAAATTTGACCTTTGACCGGTCAAAAGTAGGTCAAATGTTGACCTAGGACCAAAAAATATACCACCAATCGCGAGATCTCGTTGAGAGCAATCCGTTGGTTTTTTTCCGCTAAGCTCTACGACCTTCCGTTTCGAAACGCCAGGGGGGGGTCGTAACAACCCCCCCCCCTGGTCGTTCGTGTTATGAGAAATGGCCTGGTCGTGCGAGGGACATTCCACGCGACTCAAGGCTACATCTCTTACTCGGGACATCCCTGTGCAGATCATGCAAAGGTCTCGTGTCCTGCTGATACGCCGCCATAAACTCCCCTGTGTGGGGTCCGAGCAGGAGGCGCCGGCCGGGTGGTGCCACGGGTTTCCCGCTGCGATCCGGACGCGTTCCTCCGCGGCCCCCGCGGCAACTCCACTCACATTGGTCATCAAACGCGTCCGAAACCCCAGCCGCCCTGAAGCAATGACCGTAAAACAATAAATCACGACCCAGACCGTTGATATCCGAGTGCGAGCGTGCGTCCGCCAGCTCGTCGCGGAGTTATAAACGGATAAGATTCGCGTTCACTGCGCTGGTCGGCCTCAGCGCGCCAGCCGAGGTCAGTGTCACATGGCGCGGCAGTCGGTGAAGCTGCCTGTGACAGCGCCTTCAGAGCGGAAACTTTGGTGGTAGCGGCTGTGTCAGTTGGGAGTAAAGTCAACCATCAGCGACGAGGAAATTTCAGCGAGCAGCAGCGGTCACGGCACTGACGCAGAAAGGCGGCGGCAGAAAGCTGGCATTTCCCGGTGGCCCGGCGCCATGTCCTTCAGGCAGCGGCCGCAGCTGACCGCAGAGGAGCTTCTACAGCTCCACTCGGAGCCCGGTCTCGGACTGCACAACCCGGCCTTCGCCCTGGAGGAGCGGCCGCGTCAGGCGTCCGACGTCCTGAGTGACTCTTCGGATGACGAGCAGGACGGTATCACCTTCTCAGCGGGACCGCGCGCGGCCAAAGAACCCGCTTCCCACACGTCAGTGGAAGTCGAGACCAGTCTGTCGACCCCCGCCGCCGCTCCGGCATCACGATCTGAGACGGACCGCAGCCCGACGCAGCCGAGAACGTCGCCTCTCGCGCAGCAGCGGAATCTGTCATCATCTCCTCGCGGCCCCGGCTCCGTCTCTCCGCTCGCCGTCCACAACGTCTCTGCCGGCCGGCCAGACTTCCAGCCGTCTGCTACGCCATCTCCTGACCTTCGCGGGGCCACTACAGCGACCTCCTTCACCCCCGCCGAAGACGACGCTTCCGTCGACGCCATCACTCCACATCCTGATGAGCACCACGAGGAGGCCTTCGACCTCGTCCCATCGGTCGACTTCGGCGGTCTGGCGCAGCGCCGTCGCCGCCAGGTCTCAGAGTCCTCTCACGGCTCAGTTCGCTCCGTCCCCCGCACCCTGAACGTGCAGATGCCCGGGTCGCCGGCGCCGACACCTCCCCGGCCGCGGCCGTTCCGTCGGTCGGAGACTGTGGCGGCCCTGGGTGTGTCTCCGGCACTACAGAGGAGACCACTGCGGCTCTCTGATAACCTGCTGGCTTCCATCGCGTCTCAGACAGCCGCCGGAGGGGGCCGGATGGTGCGCCAGCTCAGCGAGACGGGCAGCGCAGGACAGGTGGGTGGTTACTGGCCGAGGTGTTACCGTGTTTACAGGTATGTGGGGTAGATGATTAGCTACCATACCGCCGTATAAATATATTTTATGAGTAGCTACCATGTAGGTATGAAGACAGATGATAGCTATCGCGCAGGTGTGGAGACAGACGTGCGAGCAAAAAGAATGATCACCTGGGTGGATGAGCTGGGATGATAAGAACAGATACAAGGTTACAGGTAACTGTTCTCATTACGTCAGAGAAATGTTTCACGATGTTTTTATACAATAGCCAGTTTTTATTCATAATCTATAGGATTGAGTTAGCATTTCATTGTGTGGAGAGAGAGAGAGAGAGAGAGAGAGAGAGAGAGAGAGAGAGAGAGAGAGAGAGAGAGAGAGAGAGAGAGAGAGACAGAGAGAGAGACAGACAGACAGACAGACATACAGAGACAGACATACAGACAGACAGACAGACAGACAGACTGAAGACAGACAGACAGACTGACAAACAGACAGAGACAAAGACAGAGACAAAGACAAAGACAGAGACAGAGACAGAGACAGAGACATAGACAGAGACAGAGACAGGGACAGAGACAGAGAGTTAGAGAGACAGAGAGTGCTTTGCATAGCCGGATAGTGGTTTCTAGACGTATCGGTTCTATCGTCTATACCAATGACGCCCAATAATCCTGGCATCCGCCTTATACCGAACCTAAGAGACGTGGTTCCATTTTCCCTTGATCACATCGTATAGCGGGATAGAGTGGCAATATTGTCCTCATACATTCTTCGGTCATAAGCATCATTTCCGAAACCGCTGGACGGCCCCAATACAAGTCTCCGGGTCTTTCCAATCACAGAACGGGAGCCACAAAACTAGAGAACACGGATCTGCGGCCAAAAATAAACCGCGTGGAAACTGTTGTTGGAAAAGTTTTATTTATTACATTCATAAAACAAAACTGTTGCTTTACACAGGGTGGTATTTTGCCATATGGCAGCTTGCTTTATTGCTAGCTTGCACGACTGTACGACGGCTGTACGACTGCACGACTATGCATACTATACGTATACATACTTACTCAAGATCTTCGTTTGTCAACTGTTTCGTGATATTCTGCAGCATGCACTTTGTTACATAGACCATAGTTTTTAAAGAAAAAGAGAACATTTTTTAAAGATTGATAAGAGCGCGAAAAAGTGTAATCTGAGTCTTTCCCTCCTCCAGACAGTTGAGCCGCGGTTGTCGCTGACCTCTTTCCTTCCCTCCCCAGGCTTCCGAGCCGCGGTCACCAGTGCGTCAGCTGCGGCGAACGAACACCGCCATGTCGCTGCTGTCACAATCCAGGGACACCCCGCCGACCCCGCGGCGACCCCTGCGGCACACAGAGAACATCTACACCATGCAGGCCCAGTTCAGCACCCCACCAGCGACCCCCGGCCCGCAGCGTCGGCCGCAGAGGCACACGGAGAACTTACACACCCTGAGGGGAAAGGTGGGCGGTGGCTCCACCTCAGGAGGGGACAGCACGCCCCGACTGCCCGGCTTCCGACTCATCAGTGCCTCGTCCAACGACCTGAAGGTAGGTCCACTGGGGTCGGAGAGCGATGTGATTAGGCCGATCAATCTATAGTATCATCGAGCATCGTCTAAAGATCGTGCTGCCTCGTATCCACGTAACTGGGGTAAGGTGTTCACATAAATTAATGTGCTGGTAACGCTAATTGCGGCATAGTCCCGTGATTAAGGATATTTTTTGATAAACAGACTGTCGACCCAGCTGCAGGCAAAAGTAGCGTTGCAACGAAAAAACAACAACAACAACAACAACAACAACAAGTAGTAACTAAGTGAACAAACTAAGGCATCTAACAGATTGGTAACTATGTAAAATTGTAGGAATGATGATGTTGTTGTGGTATGATCATAATCTTCACTGAAATGAACATAAGACTTATACGCCATAAAACTGCCATAACTCTTTCTACCATAATCCACAATGATATGCGGTATGTGTATGTACTGCCAAGGTAATTCTCAAGGTATTCGCACTGCAGCTCCGTCAGAGCGAGTTTCCCAGTCCTCGAATATACGTCCACCTGTAAAACGAGTATCTGCAGATTTGGCACGAAGTTTATGACTGCAATGAGATCTGGTGTGGGATTACAGGATCAGAACATAATCGCCAGCTAAGCGACGGCCATTTCTCCGCTGATCTATGCATACAAAGACGGCTGATTCTCTAATGTGTCATCAAAAATTGTATCATGATGTTTGCAATGAAGAACAACGAACATATTGACCGAACATTTGCACTTGTGTCTAGTGCCACGAGTAAAACGTCCATATCCGATTATACAACTCGAGCTACTTTTACAGCTTTGGTTGATGTAAACAACCTTACTCTATTGACTGTTTTCATCTTGGACTAAGAATCTTTTAATTAAGTATTGTATATTTATCATCCTCTCTCTCTCCCTCTCCCTCTCTCTCTCTCTCTCTCTCTCTCTCTCTCTCTCTCTCTCTCTCTCTCTCTCTCTCTCTCTCTCTCTCTCTCTCTCTCTCTCTCCTCATTATTGTTACCTAGATAAGCTCTCCGCGGTGTGCAAATCGCACTGTTTCCACCAATAAAAACGTACCGCGAACATAACGCTCGTGCCCAGCCCGTCTGTCTCAAGGCACGTTTCCTGCCCGCACATATTCTGTTCATTTGATGCTTACCAAATGCAAGCCACCACTGTATCATTTCACATGCAAGATGTTGCAATATTACGTCCGGGCCCGATTTCATAATGAACCAAGAGTTGAATGGAGCATAATTGTGACCTGCAGAACCGCGGAAAAAGTTAGCTGGTTCTATGTTGAGACAGCCTATTCGCTAGAAAAGTTATTCGATAGAAAAAAAAACATATTCGATAGAAGAAACTAACAAACCGGTAGAAGAACTTATTCGGCAGAACCTTACTCGCTATAATGCTACATTTTTTTGACCGCTGCTTTCAGGGAAGATAACTTTGCGGGAAGCAGTGCAGTCTACAACATTGGACCGATGGAACCGTGGGCACTGAGTTTAATGGCCACCAAAACGACTCCACTTATGATCAGACTGTCGCCATTATTTTATGTTCGGAGCTTAAATGGTGTTATAGAATCAGTATATTTCGCTCTAGCTTGTCCAATGAATCCCATGAGAATTTTAGAATGGCGCTATTACACGACCTTATTGGACTCATATAAATCCATTGTCGTTCCTTGGCAAGTGTTCAAGGACAAGGTTCCAAGCAAAACGCAGCTAATTATCCGTGTTGTTAGAGAATCAGACATACTAGGTTAGAATAAATTTTTTTATTAGGTTTTAGAATAATCAATGCTATTAATTTAATCTCTGGTGGTATGTAATTGCATGACTGGTAGTTGACTTAGTGACCACTCATTCACTTGCAACTACATAAAATACGCGCCTGCACGGAAATGCTATAAAAGCGTTGACGTCGTTAAATATTAAAATAAATAAAAACATCAGCGCAACGAGGGCCAATGCATAATCACAATCCATTTATTTGATTACACCGAAAAAGATAATGTGTTAAAAAGTATCAGTCATCGCCTCACCCTATCATAAGCCTTTCTTCACTATAAAAGTTCCTAACCCGCCCTCTGACCCGACCTCTGCCCTCAGGGCATGGACAGTGAGGGGAACATCGTGCTGCCGATTGACGACCTGCAGTTGGAGACGCTGCGGGAGGGGGAGGTGGTCACCCTGCCGCACTCGGCCAGCCTGGCGTCACTGGCCACCGCCGGCAGGGTAGCCACCGTGTCAGAGACGACCGCCGAAAAACCGCCAGACATCCATGAGGTGGAGGAGACGGCCAGCATCGGCACGGCAGGTCAGTCTGCAGTGCAGCGGTATCCCCAACGGGGAAATTTTTCTTTGAGATGCCTCATAATGTGAAGCCTTGATGAGTAGTAGATTCTATCCATTCGAGCTACCTGTATACGTATTAACTATAGGTTTTTAATTTTTATAGCAGTTAGGTTCAGACAGAGTTCAATTGCTGAGTCCTGAAACAGAGCCCACTTTGAGTCAGGCCAGAGGAGTCCAGCCAGAGTCTGAGCAGAGTCTAATCAGCGTGCGCTTCCGCCCTCAGAGTCGGTCATCACGCAGTCCCAGGCGCCCGTCTCCACCTGGAGCGGCTACTCCCAGTCCGAGGCCAGCCTTCTCGATAACTACGGGCCACAAATGCCGCCCGCCTCAACGCAGGAGTTCAAACTCAACCAGTTCAAGTAAGTACAGCTTTGTCATTCTCTTCAGCTGAGTGGATAAGGATCTGTCATAAGGATCCGTCGATTGTCATTTTAATCGCTAAGACTTATCTGTATTAGCCCATCCTATACAAAAGTGCCTGGTGCCTACACATATAAAGTTAGTGACTGAAGAAAGTTTAGAGTTAATAGATATTCATAATTCATTCATGCTATTTTAATGCTTGTCAAAGCATAGGTATACGTAGGTACTAATGATCAAACACTTTATCAACCCTTTTAAAGCTAAATATAACAAAGAGCGGGATCACCTTTTAATATACGTCTCGTACAGGGTGGAAAGTAATTACGCGAACATGTATTTTCTTACAATTTTGATCGTCAGTGGAGCATTATTATGAGTACGGGCTGTCATGGAACATAATTGGTCGTGTTTGTTGTCGCCTCATCTACCAAAAGTGACCCAACTTTGAACAATGACCTGGAAGGTCTTAAACACCTCTCGACTTAAAATGGTGCAGACACCATACGCTGCACAAGACCGAAATGGGCAAAGAGCTCAATTTGGAGCTGCCAGGGAAAGCGTTTATGATTATTTTCGCTGGATTGGCGGAGAAGGGATTCGTAGTGGTCTCAGCACCAGCATTGCACAATTATACGTTTTTTTTTACATAATAACACTTCAGAGGACTTAAAAAGCAAAGCCGTCCGCGGCAGCAACCCCTCGGCGAATTCTGCCGCCGGGCGGGTGGTCACCATGTCGGCGACAAAACGACGCCAGTCGACCCGAAAACTGGCAAAATAGCTTACTCTGGCCGGGTACCCGATCTAAGATATCACGATTCGCACATTAATACGCAAAAATTCGAAAATTAAGTCGTACAAACCCTCGGGATGACCAAAATTCACGAATTAACAGCAGAATTGTTAATTGAAGCTTTTCAAAGACAATCAAAGATGGACAGAGGAGGACAGGCAGCTGGATTTGTGGTTGGGTGAGACATCTGTGAAACTGTTTCATCCGTCAAACCTGCAGAACAACTGCTCTGAGGGCTGCTGTTGCGTCCTATGTCCCGTCCGTCCCAACCTTCAAACATCCGGCAAAGGAACACATCAGTGGGTCACGAGCCCCCGGGTGGTGTCAGAATTGCGTGTAGCGCTAAAAAAGGTCACTAAAAATAAAGTATACAACCGGTGGAACATCCTCCAAGACGAGTGTCTCTGTCTAATCCACCGTGCAACGAAAGGGGCAAAATGACTGAGCGCACTTTTGTGCCTGACGCAAAGAAACTGCTCTTCGTGATTGGTGAAATCCTTACTTTCACGGCCAACAAAACGCAATACTGGTGCTGTGAGAACCTGTTTTTCTTCAGGACATACAAAAGCTGATCTGGGAAACGCCTGGGCCTCAATTCGATTAAAAATCTCCAGATGACTCCTCAGGAGACCGTCTAAAAGCTGCAAGGAGCCACCAACACCGATTACCTCACTGGACAGCTCCATAAGGTGTGGGCTGAGCTTTGGCCAACAGATCTTCACATGCTGATGTAAATCATGCCGGAACGCCTATGTCAATGCATCGCAACTAGATAAGGATAAAGTAAAACATATATTGTTTATGTCACCGCCGTTTTTTCATTACTAGAAGACGAAAAAGTATGTTCGCGTAATTACTTTCCACCCTGTACGTCTGGTATGTCAACACACCGCCACCGTCTACCGCCGATGCACTCGATCTGTGTCGCTCCCAGGAACAATTTGGCGGTGGTGGGCAGCGCCATGTACGCCACGTTCCTGGTCATGTTCGGACTCATCATCTTCGTGGCAGACATAGTCGCTCCGCAGTGGGAGATCGCTGAGGTAAGTCGCTCCGCAGTGGGAGATCGCTGAGGTAAGCGGCTCCGCAGTGGGAGATCGCTGAGGTAAGCGGCTCCGCAGTGGGAGATCGCTGAGGTAAGCGGCTCCGCAGTGGGAGATCGCTGAGGTAAGCGGCTCCGCAGTGGGAGATCGCCGAGGTAAGCGGCTCCGCAGTGGGAGATCGCTGAGGTAAGCGGCTCCGCAGTGGGAGATCGCTGAGGTAAGCGGCTCCGCAGTGGGAGATCGCCGAGGTAAGCGGCTCCGCAGTGGGAGATCGCTGAGGTAAGCGGCTCCGCAGTGGGAGATCGCTGAGGTAAGCGGCTGCTGAAAAGATATGTGTATAATATATAAATACAGTGCAAAACATAAGGCGTTTTCAATGATCGGCAGTGCGGTATCAAAGGCTGGCATATTGTGATCAAAATAATTTTTGGATTTTGGTTACAATTGCTCTATTGACGTACCTAATTCAGTCGAAGGATACGCACAGGCTCATGATTCACGTTCATTTGTGAACATGCGTTCTGGTACATTTTCTCCAAGTAAGAAAACTCATATGCGGACAGTTGCTTTAAGGATATCATGGCTCACCTCTTACCATTCTATATTTTAGACATCAAAACCAAGTTTCCATCGTCTGAATCAGACAATGTAATGATAACGTATGACCTTAAGTATTGTATTAGTAATCGCAATATATGAGGCACCGCTGCAACCTTGCTATCCCATGGACCTTGCAGAATTGATAAGCAATCTAAAAGACACCTCGCTTTTGTGGTGGATGGATGGTGCAATTTAACGATGGTGGAAGTAAGCCGCCTCTTGACAGACAACTCATAAACGCGAAGCAGATCTCTCATTTAGATAAGCCCTCAAAGAAGCATGGCGGTTTCTTCTTCTGTGTCTTTAACCGCCACAACAAAATGTAAAAAAGACGCATGCTTCTCTGTAACGGCATACAAATAACAGCATAATAAAACAAGCATGTGATACATTTCAGCAGTGCAATAGCATCACATGACACACGAATGTGTGTGCATTTTCAGATTTTCACCATTGTGCAATCTGTCGTCGGCCTGGTGTGGCTGATTGCGCTGCACTTCAGTGTGCGTCGCTACCTCGCCCGACTGGCAGAAGTGGCTAAATCCACACAGGAGGGGCTCGGTAAGCGAACCCGCGCGAACGACCTCCCCAACAGCCCTTAACCAGCTGTGCGACCGGCGACCTTTCATCCACGGGCAAAGGTAGTGTGTGTCGAAAGCCGCTGTAAAGAGATACCAAAACCGAACTGTGTACACTTTATACCATCTCAGATAGCGGCATGTGATGTAAGCAATAAACCAAAGTTCTAGCCTCACAGTGAATATGCCGACTGCCGAAGTCTGATGTAATGACGGAGTTACGCAATTCCTTGTGGCGTTGAAAATCGGGGCGTGATGAACGACATCGGATCACGGATGATTTAATCTTCTTTCTACAAAGGTTTTCCTGGCCTCCTTTCCTGGCAGAAGACTGTGCGTTTCAATTGATTAAATGGAGGTAAAGCTCTTTTTGAATTCCTGGCAAGTTCGCAGTCGATTGAGTTTTCTTAGTTGACAGATGACTGCTATTAATCATAAAATAATTACGAAGAATTCATTTTAGCGGAAATGTTTCGCGGAAAATCCTATTGATTTTACCGGCCCTAGACATTTGATTACCAGTGACAACATAATTTGCACTCTAAGCCAACGCAATCTAATAAATTTAGCAGCTAAGGCAAACTAATATAATCTACGAGCCCCTTTCCGACCTTAACCAAGTTTGAAACCATGGATAAGGATTAAATCTGTGTAGGCTTGTTTGATGACATGCTGCTGCACAGCAAGGTTCCCAGCATAGTCCGCATCCCTAGCAAAGTCCGTAGCGATATTTTAACCCGAGGTCACATGGAATGACACAGGGGAGCTTAACCCGCGACCTGGTGGGGGAGGGTTATTTTTTGCCCCCCCTCCCCTCCAGACTTTTCAATATATCTCCAGAACCGCTGCGCCGATCGTCACCAAACTTTCAGTACCCTCCCGGACATCAATTTTTCACATTGCTACCAAATTTTTTTCCAAAGGCTATGATAGGTTGGCCGGAAATGACGTCAGAGTGACGTCATGTTCTGCCGTTTTCGACCCAAAAACGGGTTTCGCGGGAAGAGCTGTCAGGCCTATAGCTTTGCAAATACAGAAAAATGATAAGGACATAAAAGCTGTAGAATCAAGAGGGCTACAAAACTGTTATCTCGGATTTTTGATTTTTTTTTGGATTTTGACCCCTAAAAATCAAAAAATAATTTTTTTGGATATAATAATCGAAAAATCCAAAAAGTTTTTTGAATGTCGCAAAAAACAGAATACATGTGATAGTCCTTACCGCCTTCCATCCACATACCAAATTTGAGATTGATACCTCTTTTTTTGGCGAAGTTATAGGCTATAGCGAAAAACTGTTCAAAATTGATGACGTCAAATTTTCAAACTCAATTTTAAGCAATTCTAGACCCCGTAGCGCAAAACAAAGACCACCATTAGACTCCCCGTGACGAGCTGCATCGAATCAATACCCATTTTATGCAAAACTATCAACTTTAAAAATTTGACCTTTTTTGGCCTGACCTTGACCTGACCTTGACCTGAACTTTACCAGAAAGTGACCTAAGCCGTACCTGATAGTCTTATAACCAACACCATTGAGTTGGAAATGAAAAATTGGCCATAAAACATGCATCACACGACCTTAGTAAAGTTGGGCTCATTTGACCTGACCTGTGACCCTTGGTGACCTGACCTGTGACCTGACCTGGTATTGTCAGTGACCTCTAATAGCAACATATCTACTAGGCAACTGACGCCCTGTCGCTGATTCTCGACAAAATGCGTTTTCCTCGGTGTTATAGCGCATTCCCTAGAAGACCCGTGAACGGTGAAACATGTCATCTTTGACCTGACCTGTGACGTCATCGGTGACCCCGAGGTCAATGAAATTTGGTTTCCCTCGACAAATTTGACAGGCCTTTTGAACGCCATTTGAATTTTGCGGATCCGTCCAGTAGTTTCGGAGATACGAGGGGGCAAAAAATAGCCCCCCCCCCCACCAGGTCGCGTTATAAACAGACCCCACCAGGGCGCGGGTTAAGAGGCCTAAACTGGAGAACCGCTGCAGTCACTCGAGTTGGTCACTTTGCTGTGGTCGCTAGCAGCTGCAATGTCCTGAGCTGGTCTTCCAACTTATATAAGTAATAAGTTAGTCACCTTTTGGACATAAATAAGACATCACTGTTACGTGATATGACCGCTCAGCTCTGACCCGATCTGACCACCTGATCTGACCTCATCTGACCGCGTCTCCGACCGGATGGTAGGCGCCCTGGAACGTCAGCTGATCTTGGAGCCGACCGAGGTCGAGGGCGAGTACCGGGTGCGCATGCCGTTCAAGCAGACTGCCTCCGAGATGATTCGCTGCCTGTACAGCTTCAGCGTAGGCAGACACTCCGGCAGCTTCTACCTCAAGATCGGCGCGGCTTGTGAGTCGGGGGCGGATCTGGGTAAAAATAAAACAGAGCTTTTGTGGCTTATCTATGGCAATGGTGCCGGAAAGTGAAGTTTCTATTTCCATCGTATACAACTGCGCTACAATGCAGTTGGAGCGAATATTTATTGCCAACGTGTATGGTCAGTGGTCACGATGCTCTACTCTTTTTCGGCAGGTTTCTGCTTCGGGCACCTGGTTCACCTTCTGATGTTGCTCTACAAGCACATCGACAACCTCGTTATCCATGGAGACGAGTGCAGTGACATCGTGTCTATTGTCCTCTACGCAATTCAGCCCATCTTTTCATTCTACCAGCTCTACATCACGTTCAAATACTCAAATGTGAGTGCATCTGCATCAAAATTAAAACCATGGTATGTATCCGAAATGAGCATCATATTATTGACATTGACCCAACGTCTGCACATGCCCCGCACTAAATATGCGAGAAGCAGCCGTCATCCGTACTCGCTAGCCGCTATCCACTAGCATACGCCGCGTGTGCAGCAGCCTTTATCTGCGTAAAATGCCAGAAATGCATGTCATTTCGAATAGTAAGCTACGAGTGTAGCATGGAATACGTACATTTGCATTGCTAAGCTTTCTATTCCCATTCTTCCAAGTTCGTTGGTAGCAAAACTCTCTCCATCCCCACGCTCGTTCTCAGATTGTGATCAACCACCACAAGACGTCGGCTCGGTTCGGCTTCATGCACTGTATCGCCAGCAGTCTCAACATGTGGGTGTGGAGTATCATCAAGGAAACGGTGGACGCGGTGGCGGAGCACGGCGGCCACGGTTCAGACGAGCATCACTACAACTCCTCAGAATGCCAGGGTCAGTGAGCGCGGGTCACACCACTGTGTGCTGGGTCAGTGAGCGCGGGTCACACCACTGTGTGCTAGGTCAGTGAGCGCCGGGTCACACCACTGTGTGCTGGGTCAGTGAGCGCCGGTCACACGTCTGACGGTATGTACTGACAGATTCAGTGCCCGCCTGACTGTACAGTGCATGTTAGGGCTAGTATACGCTCCTAACTAGTGCCAGGGTCAATGAGTCCAACTCAGACACCTGTCTGACCGCACTGTCAGAACTCGGAAGTCGGAACTCAGTGCGTCAAGTGCGCATCACCCTTCCGCTTAGCTTTAGCTGCTGCAACTGCTAGTTTTTTTTTTAGGAAAATAGGTATAAGGGTAGCGTAATATCGTGTTTGTTAAAATTATTTTTTCTAAATATTGTGTTATGATTGGTAAAAATAAAAAATAAAAATGAAATAAGATAATTTAGAGTATTGTTTAATGAACCCTTTCAAATAACTTGCATGTTGCTACCTTCTAAGATGTTTTCAATAACCAGCGGTGTTCTGTTCTGCAAACAACTAAACTAACCACGGTAATGGACATTGTAATAACTCGTTTATAACATAACTATCAACAAAATTTATGGGAAGCTAGAAAGCTCGTCTCTGTTGCCAGCCCAGCGACATAAATACAGCCTCGTGGCTCGTGTGGTTGGGATAGAAATGGACAGCGAACATAGGTTATACTGTCCTTCCACGCATAATAACATCACTCGCAAACCGGGAAGGGAACTACCTCATTTGCCTTCAACCGTGTTTTCATTTAGGCCTGTATGAGACTCAGACAAGCTTAAACCACTTTGGCGCTCCGCCTTCAATGTCCTGGGGCCTGGTAAACATCGCACGATAGATTGTAAGCTATGCAAACCTGACGTTGGTATGCCTACAAAACAGGTCTGGGCTCAAACTAAGCGAGCAGCCTGGTGGTAGAGACAAAATTATGCAGGGTGTCCATTCGCGAGCCGTGGTGGGCCTCTCCTTTTTCAGGCCAATACAATGGTAAAGAGCAGACTGGAAAATATGAACGATAGCGCATGAAAAAAAAACGATCGACCTAAGTATGTATTTATTCTTTGACATGAGCAAAAATAACCATAATCCCATTATTCTCAACGGTATATTAACCTTCGCCGGCACAGGCCATTTTGAGTCCTTCGACGACACAAGGGGGGGGGGGGGGGTACGACCCCCCTCGCGTTTGGCCCCTGATCGAGCTAGAGCTTCGCGAAAAAAACGAGCGTGTTGCCCGTCACCAGACGAAGCCGATGGTACCCAATTTTAACCTTCGCCCCAGTGGGGGGGGGGGGCATATGTTACCACCCTGTCGCGTTTTTTGCGTGTGAATAAAAAACCGCGGCGCGTAGCGCCGCGCCGCTTGGGGTAGCTTTTGGTACATCAATTTTGGACAATGTGTGAAATTTTTGACCCCAGGTCATGTCAGGTCAGGTCACCAGGTCAAGTTAACTGACCAAGCCTAAAAAAAGTTTGCAATCATGTCCAGCCTGCAGTGTTTGTCAGAAAAGTTTTAAACTTGGTGGATTGCATGCTGTTATGGGCGCCTACAATTTGTATATCTCGGATTTTTTATATCCGTGACCTAAGGTCAGGTCAGTGGCATGACCTTTCCATTACAAGTCAATGGAGAAAAATGAAAATGCCTCTAGATCCGTGTGTACGCATCGGAACAGTCCAAATATTTCAGAATCACAATGATTTAGTCCACTCGTAATGACCAAGGTGTCATTTTTGCTGATAGCCTCTAGACAGGTCATCCGAGGTCACTTGAGGCTACAAACAGTTTTTTGCCAATAACTCGTGATTGGAAAGAGATAGAACGCTGGGGATGGTCTCATTGTGTTTGTCTTGTTGAGACGCATCGACTGATATGCAACATGACCTTTTCCGGTAAGGTCATGACCTTGACCTGAGGTCAAATTTTCAAGTTGACCTTTCAAGGTCAAATTATAGTTCATTCAACGCGTCTCGGCGAGGGGAACACGATTCTGGCAATAGAAATGTCGTGGCTTTTTGTAGTCGAAAGTAATCGTCGAAAAACACTTTTCGTAAAAACAGCTATTTTTGGAGTTTTTGCCCTCTGGAGGCTAAACCGTTGACCTGAGGTCAATATTGATTATGACCTTTTCAAAAGAAGAGTTCAAAAGCTATCGTTTGCTGTTCCATGCGTTTTTCTAGCTACCATAGTTCCTGAGATAGCGGCATGTTTTCTGAAAAATATAATGACAATTGGCAAATTTTGACCTTTGATGACCTCTGGTGACCCCAATATTGCTCTAAGGTGAAAAATGACCGAAATACTTTCAAACGTACGCATTGAGAGCTATCGACTGCTTTTTACCGCGTCTTTCTAGCCTTCTTAGTTTTTTGAGTTAGAGGTGGGTGGTAACATATGCCCCCCCTCACTAGGGCGAAGTTGGCTGAGACCGCCACTGGGGCGCGGGTTAAGGTCCTAGGTCATCGGGTGACCTTCCAGGTCAGGTCAATGACCCGAAAACCGGGAAATCGGGACCTGTTAGAAAGTCGTAAATTGTGGCTGCTATGTGGTTTTCCGGGGTGCTGATCACGAATATCGTGTTAGTTTTGATAATAGATGATGTCTATAAGCATTTAGACCAGGTCGGGTCAGGTCAGGTCAGGTCAACCGGTAGGGGTTGTGACGGGTAATCGTAATACGTGTCAACCGCCTCGGACAGCTTCGTAACATGTTACGAAGGCACCAAAACTACTTCGTAAATGTTCAAATGGTTGCTAAATTCGAATTCAGCTCCAAAAACTAGCCTAGAAACATGTAAAACTCGAAAAAGTGAACCGAGGTCACCCGAGGTCACCAAAGGTCAATGACCTGACCTGACCTTCAGGTGACCTTGACACCCACCCTAATGCATGGGAGCAACCTCAAATTACATGTTTGAACGTTTGAAACCACGAAAAGCTTGCAAACGCGCGGCTAATGCGAGCCGACATGCGCCGAACCGCGATTTCGGCCAAACAGGTCACAGAAAAGAGGTCACAGGTCAAAGGTCATTGGGGTCAGGGTCATGAAATTTTCAGGGTAGGTGTAAAATTGATCAATGCGAGGGTACTGAAAGTTTCGTCGCGATCGGCCGCTTTTTACGCGAGTTATTCGCGAAAAACCTTAGGGGGGGTTGCATCAACCCCCCCCCCCCTGTGCCGGTGAGGGTTAAAATGTAATACACTTTTACCTTTTGAAAATAGTTACGATGCAAGCTGGATAAAAATGAGCGCAGTATTTCAATTTTTCAGTAACCGGAAGAAAACTTCTCTTTTTTTGCTGGTTAGAGTTCGAAAAATCCATTTCTCAGCTTTTCTTCATTCCCGTGCTGTAATTAATTCACAGAGTGTACCGTGAGCATTGCTTTGGAGGACGCCACTCTTCAGTACCAGAAGTGCGCCTATAACGACAGCATTGCCGAGGTGGTCACCAACCTCTCCGGCTACCTCTACCCGCTCACCATCGAGTTCAACATCCTCATCGGTGGGTAAAAACGGAAAAGTGATGAAGGAGAGACGGAATGGCGCATTGATGTATCAACTTAAATGTATTTGTGTTTGATAACCTTTATTTGTCATCGGTCTTAGGAAATCAATCGTTTTATCCGTTCAGCAAGCGGCGTTGTTATAGTGTTTTCGGAGAAAAGAGGCGTCATACGGATTAACATTCATTGATTGTTGGCAGTCGGTGTGTGGTTCATCATTTGGCAAAACATCGGAAACACCAAGATCGGCCAATATCTGACCGGTGACGTCACCCAGGTGGAGGGGGCCACCAATCAGGTGAGTCCATCGGATACCAATGACGTCATACAGGTGGAGGCAGCCACCAAGCAGGTGATTGCACTGAAGGTGATTGCACAAGAGCTCTTATCTCTTGTCGTTGGCGATTTATTGCTTCAGAACTTCTTAGTGAAATGTTCAGCATGTTCTATGGTCATACAACATTATATATTTAGTCAAATGTTTTAACATCAAGAGCTATTGATACCATCGAATGTCTTTGAATAATAAGCTTCTTTCATGTCCTCAGTCGGTTCTGCAAGTCGATTGCCGGCGAGCCAACCGTGGCATGCTCTCGGGTCTGCTGATCATTGTTCTCGTCGTAGTGGACATCATCATTTTCTTCTCACTGACCGCCGAGGATAGCGAATCTGCTCGTAAGTTGTCTTATAGCCATTTCCAATAATCATGATTCAATATCATTTTTTTTATTTTAACCTAAAAGGGTCCATAGAAGTCTCATAAGCCGTTCCTTCGGACTTTTTCCCACATTTGGTAATTGCTTGCACATACATACACGAGCAAGAGCATGCGATATCATATTCAAAATCGGTCTAACAGTGGCGTGTTTTCTTTCCAGTACAAGCGGCCATTTACATGACCCAATCATGGGAACTATTCCTAACTGCTTTGATGGGCATTCTCTGCCTGCTGGCATACCACCAGCTGATGCGGCTTGATATCAACAACCACCCGATCTCATTCCTGGACGACCTCCTGCTGTTCATCTGCATGCCGGCCTTCTTTCTCTACGGCATCTTGATCCTCGCACCGACGCTCTTCCCAAAAGAAGGGGACGAGCCGACGGTGGTTGACATCATGGTGCCGATTGCACTGGTGAGTTCCAGCCCACCGGCCACCAATGCCAGCTACATGCCTGCTCTAGCTTGAACAGCATATGAAGGTAACCGTCTGGTCACTGAATATTTAAATCCTATGCGCCTGTAACATGCTGTGTCGCAGCGCTCAATAATTCCTAGTTTTCGCGCTACATTTCGGCCTTAACTCTTAATTTTCTCGCTAGATGTCGGCCTATACGGACGCCTGAAGCATGCTGTGCCGCAGTGCTCAGTAGTTGCCAACCCTCTCGCTAGATGTCAGCCTGAGTGGGCGCCTGAAGCATGCTGTGCCGCAATGCTCTATAGTTCCTAGTTTGCCCGCTAGATGTCGACCTAAGTGAACGCCTGAATCATGCTGTGCCGCAGCGCTCTGTAGTTTCTAGTTTTCTCGCTAGATGTCAGCCTACGCGGGCGCCTGAAGCATGCTGTGCCGCAACACTCCGACATTGACAGCGCGCCTTGAACGCGCCTTTGTACTTGCCTTGCATAACGAGCGTCATGTGTGAGCTGAGAAGCCAGGATTGATAGCATAAAAAACGCGTTCGATTCCGGAGTTGATAACTGCTAGTGACGCAGCAAGCAAACTTTCATAAATTATTCGGACATTCGAAACGAGATAAATCGATAATTAAATTGTCTTTTAACTGCAGCGGTATAACTCATACAACTAATCTAGCATTTTATGGAAATTAGCATGCCGCAGCCATGTCCAAGTGTGTACACTCGCTGTTTGCTGGTGCGTCTTTCCAAACCGTGCCTCCCATCTGACCCCCGTTTGACCCCGTCCCCCAGGTGATAGAGGTGATCATTCAGACTCCGTTCCTGATGGACAGCCTCCGACGGTGCAGCAACACGCCCGAGGCACGTCAGGCAAAGCCTGGGCGCGAGTACGTGACCGTGCTGCTCTTCTGCAACCTAGCCATGTGGCTGCTGCAGACTCTGGAGAACCAGGCCAGTCAGGATACACTGTGCGTCCACTTTTACGGCAACTTCACGTGGACGCTGCTCAAGCACGCCACCACACCACTGTGCCTGTTCTACAGATTCCATTCGTCCGTCTGCCTGGCAGATATATGGAAGTCGGCTTATGAACCGGGAAACTAGGAGAACGTGATTAAAGAGGAATAGAGATTGTAGGTTGTGAAAGCGAGTCGCAAAAGGGCGACACGAAAGGGAAGATACGTGTGCAGTGCGCAATGAATTGTTCGAGATCAGGCTGACATGAAACCAGTAAAACGCCTTTTGGGCGAAGAACGAGCGAGCGAGATAGTGAGCCCTGCACGTGCAGAAGGGCGAGAGGTACTTCCAACGGGCTTGTGCAAAGCACCCTTCTAACCGGTCGCTAGCGGTGTACCAAATTTGAACGCAATCGGCCCAGCCGTTCCTGAGATCCGGAAGCGGCATTCTGCACGTGCGCACGTGCAAACGGGGTCCAAAATGACTTTTGCACGGCACCCTACTAACCGGTCCCTAACCGTGTACCAAATTTGAGCGCAATCGGCCCAGCCGTTCCCGAGATCTGGAAACGCCCCCTGCACGTGCGCACGTGCAGTAGCACCCTAACCGCAACACATGGGAATGCATTGCCTGGTGGGTGCCTACCTGTATGCCAAGTTTCAGCGAAATCGCCCCAGTAATTACCGAGTTACTGAAATGGGAACAAATTTGGCACCTCTTATTGTTGTATTTTGCACGTGCAGTGGGGGTCACTCACATAGATGAAGAGTATCCGACCTTTGGTAGAAGGGATGCAGCTAACCTATAAAAATGACCGCAAGACAATCGCTCAAGCCACTGCTGAGATATGGGCCTCTCAAAATCATTACTTTTGCAAAACTGCTTGAACACCCTTGACTTTTCACGTGGCACGTGCCACGGCGGTCACTGAGATGTAGCAAAAGTAGTCAATTACGGGGTAGAAGGGATGGGGCTACCATGCAAAAAAGACCGCAGGCCATTCGGTCCAGCGGTTGCTGAGATATAAGCCTCTCAAAAGCGTTACAGGCCGGGCCGGGCCGGGCCGGGCCGGGCCGCTCATACTGAGATTTTTCCGTTATATTGAAAAGACTTCGCTTCGCTCGCTGCGCTCGCTCGCTCGTAATAATATTTGGCTGATTTGTGCTCGAATGATGAATACAAAGGCGATAGAGCAGCACGGCGTACAGTGTAGGCACACGCGTGTACCTACCTATATCGTAACACTGACAAACTGTTTATTCGCACTTACCGACTTGTTTATGCATTATATTTAGTGTTTGAATGTCCGCTGCAGGCAATCGGCATCCATGAGCATTGAACAATTTTAGCTTGCCTAAAGGTGTCCACGGAAGATAGTACAGTGGCTATTCCAATCGAGTCTTTATGAGATGCTATATGCAAGTGTCTAACACCTAGTCTGCAAGCTTTAGTGTCTATGTCACTTAGTATTAAGTTTACTTGTAAATCGTGATTTTAGCTGCTTAATAGTGAATACGAATGAAGCGATGATACAAAAATATTTCATTCATAGCATAGGCGACTAGATTTTCCCCATTGTGCCTCTTGACTATAAGGTTTTAGTTCAAGCTATATGTATCTACCTACACTTCATTGTTATTGTAGTATGTGCAACCGAGTGGGCGGGTCCCATTGGTTTGCGCGATTGAATCATGTATCTGTCTGGGTGCGAATTGCGAACACGACTGTGAGACTGACGCTTTCTACAAGCTCTTTATGGGTGTTTTATTTTTCGGGAGGCTGGCGCACCAATCAGATGCCATGAGATGGTATGTTATGACCAAGCGTAGCTAAATGTGTCCTGTGTATGTCGGTAAGACGTTAAGAAGTTATGAACTAAACATGCTTGATGTATCAGGTAGCGCGATTGCCTGTGGTGCAGAACGATGTCCCGCTGGTCGGTTAGCAATGCTGTAGATGTGCCAGCGTATGAGCCAAAATCAATGATAGCTGCAGAGTTTAGAAGGTATCCAAACTTTAGCCTGGTGGAACCATCTCCGGATTTAATCATGTGGGGATGATATCCCGAGCAGGAACTTTGAGTGAAGTTTTCCCGGCTCAACGCGTTGACCTTTGTTGAAGGTAATTGGTGAAGGGTGACGGGTCTATTGTTGTGCTCACGCTCTGAGTGCAGTTCTCGCTATGTATAAGAGTGCGTGCGTGGTGGCGGTATAATTTGCAGATGCCGCGACCGATCATTACTGCTGTATTATTAGTCGTTAAACCTGAGAGATACACATTCGTGTCTCACCTTGGATAAGTTTCAAGGTACCTATTCACTATACAGTGTACGGGAAATTAAATATGTGATAAGTGCGAAGGCATGCGTGGGTTATAGCTGCACAGGATGAGTGCAGCGGATATTGTGTGGAAGTGTCTGTCGTGTTGCTGCATTCTTGAAACGAGTAAGCACTTTACGGTTGGGCTTGCTCTATCATATATGTGCTTAGCATTATCCCCAGTAAGAAGAATAAACGTTATGCGAAAACAACTTATTATTTTTCCTTAAAGTGCCGGCGTAAAAAATCACTGGCTGAAAGCCACAAGCCTCGCGAGGCTTGTGGCCGATGTGTTTTCCGCGGAACCGATGTGTTTTCCGCGGAAGACACATCGGTAGATTCATGTAGGGAAGCGTTACTAATTGGCAACAAAAACGAATTTCATCCCAGGACCCCTGCCTATTCTTTTTTTCTGGGCTATGTGATCATTTGAAAACACAAAACAAGTTCAAAATAGAAAACAAACTATGTCAACGTCACGCCGAACGCCAAACGCTGACGGCAATCTCTCCCCAGTCTGCGAGGAATCGTTTCAGTTCTTTTAAACTTACTTTTTTACTTCCTCTCATACCCATTAACATTGTTATGCCTAGATCGCCGGCATGCGGGCGTAAGATTAACCCGCGCCCCGCTGGAGGTCCTGGATTTCCACGCCCTGCTGGGGGGGGTGTTTGAACCCCCCCCCCCCTTGTAACTCGGCTCCTGGGCCACGTAGCGATACGCGGAAGGCGGCGTTCGAAAGAGCGTAAAAAATAATGACGAAATCACTTCGGTCAATTTTTTGGTCAGGTCAAAGGTCAGGTCACCAGAGGTCATTGAAGGCAAAATTTCGCCGATTTCCAGGTCGAATGTCGAAAATTTCCAAGAAGCTAACGCATAACTCGGGAACCAATAGAGCTACAGCGCCGCGGAAAAGTGCATTCGATAGCCCTATTAACGCCCTTTCTGAGTAATCCTCTCAGATTTGACCTAACGTCAACGTGGGTCTGCAGGGGGCAAAAACTGCAAAAATAGCCGATTTTTTCGGAAACAGTTTTTCTGCAATAACTTTTGACCCAAGCCTTGTACGAGCTTACTTTTACCGGCATCGTGTTCCTTCGTCAAGACGCATCGAATGAACTGTAACTTGACCTTGAAAGGTCAACTTGAAAATTTGACCTCAGGTCAAGGTCATGACCTGACCGGAAAGGGTCATGTTGCATATCAGTCGATTCGTATCGTCGAGCTGAACACATATAAGGCGTTTTCATCGCTCTAGCATGTCTCTATCAAAAGTTATTTGCGAGAAACTGTTAGATACCATTCGTGACCTAAGATGACCTCAGGGCACAAACAAGGGTCACGGACACCATTTTCATGTTCAGTGTGTCTAAACCACTTGTAATTCGGTGTTTGGGAGTGTTTATAATGCCCTTCGTCCAAAAGAGGCGCATTTCAATTTTCTCCCATTGACTTATAGGGGAAGTTGGGGCAATGCCGGGGTTGGGGCAAAGCCGAAATTCGAGATATTTCGAAAACCGTACGACATGGATGCCACCTGTCAGTGATGCTCTGAAGCTTATAAGTGACTACCAATTATCGCATGTTTGTTACCAGTCGTCATTCGGAATACTTCGGCTGTGAGGGCGCCAAGAGCGTTTTCAAGGTACGTTTCCTTTGTACTACATGCGTCTTCGAAGCTGCATTTCCTACTCATTATGCTACCGTTTGTCTGGCCAATTCGGTCAAGTAAGCTTCAGCACGTCTTTGCATAAGTGTGCTGCCTATTTGAAATTTATACAGCACGTTGAAAAGTTATGGGCCTGCAAATGAAAGTATGGCTGGCTGGGGTAATGCCGAAAACGTGCAATTACGCGCGTTAAAGCATGCTACGTGAACTTTACCGCTGTAGAATAGCAACGCGTATTTTTAGTCACACAAATTACACTTTTAACCGACACAACGGCCTGTTACCATAAGGAATGATTTACCTGGCCTTTTCTTATTATATCACACAATTATAACTTCCAGTGTGCACCAAGCGTCCTCAAGCTCTTAAAACGCGTGTCAGCTTTGACGAATTCTGGATAAAATTTGAGATATAACAGCAAAACATCAATTTCGGCATTCCCGTAGAGCATTTCTCCCATTTTCGGCTTTCCCCGCAGTCCGGGGCAACGCCGAAAAAGTCACTTCTTTGATATTTTTAGTTTGTGCGCTTTACGGTATGCGAATTCATCAAATGCGCCTGGTATGTTTGAAAGGCAAAAGACTGGCCTCTCGAATGACGCCAACAAGAATAGCTTATGTTGTCTACCTTGCGTGCTACGGGCGTCAGAAAAAAAAGTATTCGGCGTTCCCCCAACTTCCCCTAATGGGGAGGTCGCAAAAATTGACCTGACCTTAGGTCATCGATATCAAAATTCTGAGATATACATTTTGTACATGCTATTGCTCTTAGCAATCGCTGAAAGTTTCAAAGCGATCGGTCACTCGGTGTAGCTATGACAGACATTGAAACTTTTTATGAGGTGAGGTCACTTCAAGTGACCTGGTGACCTGACCTTGAATGACCTTGGTCTGAAATTTTCACAACATGTGTAGAATTGATGTATGATAAGGTGTACCAAAAACGGCGGCGCGCGCCGCCGTTTTTGAGATATTCGCGAAAAACCACAAGGGGGGGGGTGTTCAAACACCCCCCCCCAGCAGGGCGCGGGTTAATCACTGAGCCATGTCCCGCCGAATAAAACGCGACCCATTCCCAACCGAGCTCAGCATTGAATCGGTCTACCGCTCTTCTTGCAATGTATTCTGGCGAACGACAGAATCCCAGACCCATCCAAAGTTTCCTAAACGCTTTACAATCTAATGCGACTTTGATGCATTCAGCCGCAGACTGGTGAGCCAATGTATTCACTCCGGAAAACCAGATACCTGTGAATTCCAAACAGTGACCATAAAACGGGTTTCGCAGTAGTTGACACCACCAAGCCAGTCGCATTCAATACTTTAAGGATAGAATCTCAATTCTCAGGTCTCAGGACGGCGGCCTGCGGGAACGGAATTCATTTATTTTATTACTATTAATTTTTTTACTCGCACCTTTTATTTTTACGAAATTGAGTCTTGAGAACTCGGGTTCACGGGTCTCTGGGTGCAGTAAATCCGATTCACAAAGCTTCTTTGAACGACCCTCGCCCACCTCAACTACAATTTATCTTGCAGGGAACACGAACAATGGTTTGGCGGCCGTGGAGAGACGATGGCCGCTGAGGTGAAAACGCCCATCAATGCGATTCGCTTGTTTGCGGCTTTTCAGAGGCGCGCATCAACGCTGGCTGGCTCTAGGAATGAAGCTGGGACGGCAAATAACGATATTGTCGAGCTATTCTTGCCACGCCACTCATGAAGTGGTGCGGGCCTGCGGCACTGTGGTTCTTCCTTTTCATGAAAGCAGTTAGCGACAAGTTCGGCATTCGTTGTTTTAAATAGAGCTCTTTGACGGCAACATGACGAATTTCTCATGAGCCCGTCCGACTGTACAGACAGAAAAGATGTCTGTTGGCGATACAAATAATGAGACAACACAAATAGCCCCAAGCCCGCCCCGTAGCCGCAGCATCTCGGCGTTGTCAGTTCAGAATCGATGCTCGTAATGAACGTGCTGCCTTCAAACAGGATGCCACTGCACCTTGGAAGGAATGTCGGACATTCCCTTTGCAATAAGCGCGTGGCTCCAGGCCGGCCATTCCAGGCTTATTGCAACATAGCTTCGAGGGCAACAATAGGCTACAGGTGACTAGATGTTGATACCTTGATACCAGGAGCCAACTGCCAAAGAGACGAAGCTAGGGTATACTACATATAAGTTATGTGCCGCTGGATTTCTTAGATATGCAACTCTCAGTCAGCCCGTCAGACTAGCACGTACCTACGACCAAGACAGATGCGACGCATAGATGGATCTAAGCTCAAATTGAAACACCACCGTGTCAGAGCTGTCATGAGCGATTCGCTTCATTTCTCCGTGGGGCAAAACATTAACTTGTGGTTGGGAAAGTGTATATTTACAAGCTCACATAGTGTAACAAATAAAATAATCAACAAGCCTTAACCGATCATCACTTTCACTCGGCTGATTCGGGCCGGCTACTGAGGTAGCCACGCTAGGCTACTGAGGTAGCCGTGCTGGGCTACTGAGGTAGCCAGACTTGGCGCTCTCGCGACGGCACGTACAAAACAATCACCTCGCTCGTCAGACTCTGCCCTCGGGCACGTACACTCCTCTCGCGCACGTGCCGCCGTGTCGCACTAAGCAGCGCCGTCGCTCCACTCAGTAAATTTTGTGTTCCTCGGAGATCGTACGGAGAAAATGGCACTGTTGACGCGCAGCCTAGGAGAACGGCCGCCGCGAAGGCGCTGGGTTATAAATCACGCGAGTACCAAAAGGGTGGTATGATTAAAACGCGGCGGGAGTCCGCACGTTTGCTGCACCACATTGCTCACGACGATAAGAGTGACGTTCGCTTTCCGGGAGCGGTAAAATCTGCTTTCTTCATCTCAGGTTTCGCGCATTACCACGGCTCCACGGCAACAAACGCGAAATAATATGCATTCGTTCATCAATTTTATCACAAAGCATCGCTCAACTCAATCACAAAATAATACAAAGGGCGAGTCTGCTAACAGATGCGCGACATTTTACCAAGCGTAAGTAGATATATCTCAGAATTTGGCGCTGGCCGGCGTCGCCACTTGTCTCAAACACGAATGTCACGGGTCGGCCGACAACTTCGTCCTTCGCTAGCTCATCATCGCACAGCTTTCACAAACACTCGCACCAACAACATTGACTCGCACCGGCTTGTTCGCGCGTTCGCACCGTTAAAATGCTAGTCTCTGACTCCGTATCGGGGGAGGGATTAGAAAAGGTATCGAAAGGCGTCCTGGAAGATTATTGCGAGGTAGGGGGGGGGGGGACGAAGGGGCGAAGCTAATCATAAAATAAACTCAGCTTTCCATGCCTACCACCGGCCGGCAGATTCGCCTACACACCATCACGAGCACTTTACCGTCAGGATACAGCCACCAAACATAACGCCATAAAATATCCCAATACGCAACGCATCGACAGAGTGAATTTCTAGTGAGGCACCAGCCGCCGTTGCGCCGCGCTGACCGTGCCCGGCCTCTCGGCTCGACACATGGGCGCAGTGTGGGGTATGTCCGGGAGCCCCAGCGGGCGGCGGCGGGGGCAGGGGCGGGGGCGGCGGGGCAGCTGCCACGGGGCCGGAGCTGTGCCGGTCGCTCCGGGTCCTTTGTACTGGTCGCTGCTGCCCATGGCACAGGATGGCGGCGGCGCCGGCGGCCGGCCCGCGGCGCTACACGTACTCGGAATCTCGCTCTCAGTCTATCTCTCTCTGTCTCACTGGGGCCGGGTTGAGCGGCGCGGCGGTAGAAAGGTCGGTGCAGGGCGCGGGAGGGTCGCTAGGGCTCGCGGGTAGCCGTCAGGCTCGCCAGCCAGTCGTAGAAGGCCATACAGATACTCCAGCCCAGCACCAGTAGTGGCAGAACACTGCAAGCCGTTGCCTGTGGACCAATAGCAGCCCGGTCAGCTCAGCCCACAGGGGACAGCATGGTGATGAGCGAAACGCAATAAAACAAACAAACCTAAAAGAAAACTACAGGGTGTCCCAGAAGTCTTGAAGCTTTTTTATTTTTGTCGTGTGATCGACTTGTTATGCCATCGATTAAGGCAAATGATGCCTCAAACGAAAGAGAATGAACTGAAATTTTGTATTTTCATGCGTAGAGCACCACTTTAGTCAGGTGGCCCCCGTTGTGAGTCGCACAAGAACGAGCGCGAGAGATCGCGTTCTTCTCTGCCGCCAAGATCTCCCGATTTGCGAAACACCGGTGTCGCGATGCCCGTTGCTTGTCAGCTTCAGAGCCTTATTCCATGATACATATATGTCGCAAATGTTATTTGTGACAGGTTGATATTTGTCTTCGCCCCATAATAATGCGACGAATCAAAGGATTAAAATGGGTTGTTGCTTAGCGCGCTCAAGCAGCTGAGCCTTATTTTCGTAGCGCATGCGTGAAAACATCTCAGAAGACTTCCTGATCAGTAAATCATTATGTTGCTAATGTTTTCTTGGGGTCTGGGGTCAATACGCTGTTTCCTGGCTCGCTTCATGGAATAAGGCTCTGAAGCTGACAAGCAACGGGCATGGCGACACCGGTGTTTCGCAAATCGGGAGATCTTGGCGGCAGCGAAGAACGCGATCTCTCGCGCTCGTTCTTGTGCGACTCACAACGGGGGCCACCTGACTAAAGTGGTGCTCTACGCATGCAAATACAAAATTTCAGTTCATTCTCGTCTTTCGTTTGAGGCATCATTTGCCTTAATCGGTGGCATAGCAAGGTCACACGACAAAAATAAAAAGCTTCAAGACTTCTGGGACACCCTGTAGTATACTACACCTGAGGCATCAGTCATAGAGTCCCAAAGTAGAAAACATCTAACCAATGTATGATTCCCAGCTCTTTACACTCAACAGCTCCAACTTAGGACGCATCGACCAATGTTGAAAGATGGCAGCACATATATCGCCAGTCGACCAAAAACGAACATCCAGACATTGACATGCAAGCGCATATCACGATCCACGTAAGGCGTGCAAGTAAGCGAACAATGGGCCCAGGTACTTCTAACGAGTGCAGTGCACTGGCGCGGAGAGCTCCTTACCTTATCACCGTCGTATCTTCTCCGCCGCCCCTCAGACCATCCGCACAAGTCGTACACAGACATACAGACACACACTCTCCACACATTCACACACTCACACACACAGTCACTCATCTCACACCACCGCGACTTGTGCGGTGGCAGAGGCAGGCGGCGGCGCACAGGACAGAGTGAAGGAGGAGGGGGACAGAGGCGCCGCCGCGGGCTACGAGTTGAGCACCACCAGTGCGATGAAGAGTGCTATCACCAGTACGGCCACGGCTATAACGTTGGAGGTGTCCATCTGTAAGGCAGGACAGGCGACAGTGCAGAGGTGCGGCCCACACGGTACGAGCGCCAGACAGACGGACAGACGGGCGGCGGCCAGGCGACGAGCGAACATCGAGAGAGAACATAGAGAGAACAGAGAGGGAACAGAATCAGAACGCAGAGAGAACAGAGCACGGACAGGCAGGGACCCAGTGATGCTGAAATATTAGAGAATTGTAACATAAATGGCTGAGCAGCGTGACTTTGGGTGCAGCATGCTGCTTGTGACGCCGAGTGGCGTATAGTGCGGACATCCCCTAATCTGCCCGACCGGCCGAGCTAAATTTCGAACAGACTGAAGGTTTATCAGACTGAACCACACAGGCTGAAGTCAGCTCAGGCTAGTCCAGGACAGTACAGACTAGATATTCTGACCTGCCCTCGCCACTGTGCGGTTAGCTCTGAGACCTACAAGCCCATCTCGAATGTGCTAGGCGGTTCATAGCCCAGACATAGTGCACTTAGAGAATCACAACAAATCATGAAAGCATTCCTCAGGGTCTCCCTTAAACGCGCGGCGTCAACAGTCCGACATTTAGAATCATTAAACATTCAGGAAGCTCTAATGCATTCAGTGCCGAACATTCCCCTAGCTTCAAACACTGAAACAATTCAGATGGTCTCACAAGCATCACAAAACATATAAAGCATGTAACAGCTCAATAAACATTACACAATGAAGCAGGTCAGCATACATACAGCTACATTCCAAAGAAAAAAAAAACAGACAAAGCAGATAGCTGGAAGAAACTGTGAACATCAATACAGTCTGCAGAGGAGAGTGAAAAGTGCCCGACTGTACTGCCGGCTCCACAGAGGGCAGCGGTGTCTTACCGTTCTGTTCTGCACGGCTAGCTCCTTGAGCTGTTCGTCCATATGCTGCAGCTGCCGCCGCAGCTCCGCCTTCTCCGCATCATCCTCTGCCGAGGCCGAGGCGGCGGCGGGAGCCTCCTCGGCTGCGGGCGGGGCGGCGGCCGAGGGAGGGGAGGCGCACACGGGCGGCGCGGACACGGTGGAATCCGGAGCGTCGCCGCCCGGTGCCGAGGAGGCGCTCAGCTCGGCAGCGGTCGTCTCGAGCGTGGCACAGCGCGCCAGAGCTGTGTCCCGCTCCTCCTCGCACCTATGACGAGATAGAGAGATGTGGATTGTCAATGGCGGGCACAGTAAGGCGGGTTAGCAGACGGACAACAGCAACAGCATGATATAAATGTCTTGACAAGAGACGTCAAATGTCATGTTCAGGTTGTCTTACTTGTAAAATACCTACAACTTCAGGGAGACCTTGCATAGTTCATTTAGCAACATCGCCATACTGCCAAACAACCGTTTCAGTAAACCCTTCAGCAGCCAGCTCTCTCCCCACTCACGCCTTGAAGCGCTGCTCGAGCTGCTGCAGCCGGTCTGCCGTCTCCTCTAGCTGGCGGTGTCTCCTCTCTGTCTCTGCGCGGACCGTGGTCAGCTCCGTCCGCAGCTCGGCCAGCTGGGCCCTCAGACTCTCGGCCTCGGCAGATGAGTCGGTGGCGCGCCGCTCAGCAGACGTCAGACTCTCTGAAATAGAGGGGGGAGGCGGAATTAATGGATGACGTGCTCGGTAGGAGTAATGCATTGTGGTCTGTGGCAATAAACGAGAGAATTTGCTTTACGTGTGACAGAACTGGCGGCTAGCAAAGACAGTGCATCTTTGATAGTTCAGCCTACCTGTGTCCAGGAAAAATACAACACGCAACTTTGCATTTATACAAAATTACCGCAAAATAAGACCCGAAAATATCGAGTGGCAAATTAACTAGAATAGTTAAACAAAATAGTTAAACAAATAGTTAAATAGTTAGAATAGTTAAACAAAATGTATTGTCCCACGACAAAGGTCGACACAGCTGGGACAAAAGACAGAACGTGCGACGTGCGTAGTACATGCTCCCCAGTGTCCCATAACTAGCGCCGATGCCGGCTGCTTTTGTAACGGACGTACGACTCTTTGTGGGCTGCATCACAAGTGAATTTAGCATCCCGGGGACCCATTCGGTACACTCCGAAAGTCACCAGGAATACAGAGAGCCTCATCATTCGTACATGTTAGAGGGAACAAATAGACAGAGGCTGGAATGGAACTGAACAGTGGTTTGTTGACCCTGTCTTAACTAGTGAGCCAAGGTACCCAGTTGGCGACCAACAAGGCCTTGAGTCTGTCTCATCATTTACAGGCTGTAGTGTCCTGGATAGCATACACCTGACCCTAGCACAGGTCACCACTGCATTCACCGCACCCTCCACCGCACACTAACCTTGTATACACACCTAACCCCGGCACAGGTCCACAGCCCACAGGTCACCACCGCCTGCCCCGTACCCTCCACCGCACACTGACCTTGCAGGAGGTCGGCGCGGGCGCGACCGTCGGCGGCCGCCTGCTGCTGGTGGTCGTACTTGTTCTGTAAGCTCTGTAGCTGCCCGACGGCCTCCGTGACGCTCGCCGCCAGCCGGACCACCGTCTGCTGGAGCTGCTCGGTCCGCTCCGAGCGCACCGTCAGACTGGCCTCCGTCTCCTGGGCGAGGAGAGGGGGGGGGGGGGGGGGTCAGTCAGGCGCGCGGACGGGGTGGGGGTGGGGGGAGGATATACCCGTTATCGCACGAATTAAGAAGGGCGTAAACAATTCACGACCAGGGACAATGTACTGGCACCTACCCTAAGGCTCAGTTGATACTCGAGGGCAGCGCTTTTCGAGGAGCGCTGTGGCCCGAAGGTTTGAACTTTGAATTGTGAAAAACGCCCGCCCGCCGCAAAACGCAAACACCGCAAAACGCGCAAAATGCACGCCCGAAACGCCAACGCAAAGGTCGCAAAAAATAAACAAACGGCCGCCCGCCGCAAACCGCAAATAAAAAAACGCAAAAACGCCGCAAAACAATAAAACCGCCCGCATCGCACGCCCGCTAACCGCCAACCGAAAACGCCTAAAAATCGCCCGCCCTCCGCCCCAAAAAAAAAAAACACCGAAAAAAAAAACGAAAAAGCGGCCGCCGACCGCAAACAAATTTAACCTCGCAAACGACGCAAAAAAAAAAGAAAGAAAACCGCCCGCATCGCCCGCCCGCCCGCCCGCCGCCAAAGACAAACACCGCAAAAAAAACACAAAACGCCCGCCCGCCGCAAAACGTAAACACCGCAAAACGTGTAAAACGCACGCCCGAAAAGCCAACGCAAACGGCAAAAAAATCGCCCGACCGCCGCAAACCACACAGAAAAAACGCCGAAATCCCGAAAAAAATAAAACCGCCCGCACCGCACCGACGCTAACTGCTAACCGAAAACGACTAAAAGTCGCCCGCCAGCCGCCAAACGCAAACATCGCAAATAAGCGCCCGGCCGCAGCAAGATAATAATTTATCAACGACTGGCATACCGCTAGGCTGGTCATTTTCACAAATCAAAAAGATATCTGCAAAAATCTCCTAGCTGAAAGTGCCCGATTAAAAAAAAACGGATGCACGTGCGTGTTCCTCGCCCCCAACTTCCTTCAGGTCAATCGTCATTTGGGTCACCTAACGCATTGACGACCGGCTGGGTGGAATGAACATTGCGCCAAGAAACGTAAGTGTATTGTCAAAAAGAATCCTCAGAATGGTGGATCCCAAAAGTTTGAAACTACCACTTTGGCCCACTGGACGACACCTTTAACAGTTGCCGACCGGATGACACCCATTGTTTGGTCACCCACGCCATAGTATGCATCATGGGTGCGCCGAAATGACCAAAAGTCCCAATTTCCGGTGTGCAGGGTCATTTTCAACGGCACGTGGCACGTGGTTCTGGACTTTTCCGGCCACTTTGCGACATACCCATGGGTAGCGCACCGAATGGTGGTTGATCTGCATGGAAGAAAATGGGGGGGGGGGGTCGTTTGGATCGTTTTCGAGCAATCTGCCGTGGAACGCATTTTTTCATTTTGCCCATTGCCTTAACACGGGAATTTTCAAAGTCACGTGGCACGTGCACCAGATGGTTCGCGGAGGGGAGACCCATACCAGAACGTAGATCACCTGGCCCACTAGAAATCCTGAAAAAATCCGATTTTTTGGAGCAGCCGTTTTCAAGAGCATCAAGTTTTACTGATCTCAGGCAGCTTTTGCCAAATTGTCAGGGAACTCAGATTTGTTTTTCAATAGAAAACACAATTCTAAAGAATAGTGTTTTAACTATTGACAACAAACCTTCGGTTATAAAGACACGGGCACCGATCTGCAACTGAAAAAGTAAGCCTGGGATTATCAAGAGTGTTAGCACGTTCATATCGTTCTACGCGCCAGCATGGGCTGTTCACTGTTCAGTGTTCAATAGATGCGTCACTAAACCTCAGAGACAGTCAGGGTTAGCCTCTCACTTAAGCGTACCCCTAAGGACATTGTCCCTTACCTTTAGCTGCGTCCTCAGGTGGTCGGCCCGCAGCGTGGCCTCCGCCCTCCTGCCCGTTAGCTGCCGCTCAGGACAGTGTCTGTTGCAATGTACCCCTCAGGACAGTCACAGTCTCCCTCACCTTGAGCTGCGTCCTCAGGTGGTCGGCCCGCAGCGTGGCCTCCTGTTAGCTACCCCTCAGGATAGTACCCCTCACCTTGAGCTGCGTCCTCAGGTGGTCGGCCCGCAGCGTGGCCTCCTGTCTGTAAGCTACCCCTCAGGTTAGCGTCCCTCACCTTCAGCTGCGTCCTCAGGTGGTCGGCCCGCAGCGTGGCCTCCTGGCCGTTGTTGCGCGTCACCAGCAGCTCGGACTGACACCGCTCCACCTTGGCCTCGGAGTCGGCACGGGCGGTGCGGGCCTCCTCCAGAAGTTCTGTCGGCCGCCCGGGTACAGCAGTGAGCGACTCGGACAGACAGGTTCTTGCACAAGATGATGAAAGCGTCAGACGGAGCCACCGGAGCCACGAATGATAGATATTTGGTGGAGTCAAGCAGGAGCGCGGCTATAACTCGGCTATTGAAATACTGGTGGCTGCAAACATGATTAGCTCTTACAAGCCCTGAATAAAACAGCATTGTGGGCGGGGAATATTACAACTGTATCTGGCATATAAGTGGCGCCATGATCCATGCAAAATTAGTGCGCATTGGTTGGGTTGAAATATTACCGCAAAAGGCCTCAATAGCGCAACGTTCGAAGCGATTTGCACGAGTCATGCCGGTCAGCAGCCATAATTATCACTGTTCATGCAAAATCATACGCAAATATGATAAAAAGCTAAACCTCAACCTGGTTAAATTGAATGCATTCATGCAATAAAGCAAAAGAAGGAGAGAAAACTCGATGCAAACCGCACATGAGCTAGTAAGGCATATTATCAAGCGCCAACACATCAGTGTTGGGAGAAGAGAAAAGGGAGCAAAGGGAATAACGGTAAAAAGAAAAGGATACATCGATAGCTGCAGGTAACTACCGATGTTGTGAAAGCAGGAAGGCATTTTCAAAGTAACGACGAGAGCGTGGAATCCCAGTTCATAAAGCTGTGAGTGCCGACAGTCATCCATCTCCAATCTCCATGGCTTCTCACGGGAGCACGACATGCGGGCAGGAGGCGCACATGCAGCCGCCGTCAGTCACCGAACGAACCTTTTAGTATGGTTATAGTGCTAATGTAGTGCTCTACGTGCGTTCCCATCATCCACAAACGCTCTACAACACAGGCGGTCAGTCAGAAATTTTAGATACAAATTATGTACAAAAGGAACATAAACCCAAGCGCTCGTCGAAGTCGAACAAAGATAAAATCATAATCATGTTAAAAAAACGAAACAAAACAAAACAAACAAACAAGCAAAACAGGACCAAAAAGAACAGAAAGAGGCAACATTTAAATGTTATCTAGCCATACAAAAGCAGACTTAAAAATACTAGAGAACGGCCGACATCATACCCCGACATATATCACCAAGAGGGACAGAAAATCTTGGACCCACTTTTTGCCCCTCGGTGCTCGCACACCGACTGGATGTCAGCGACTCACCCTGCAGGCTGTCCACCTTGTTCTTCAGCTGGATGATGTCCGTCTGGGTCTCCTTGATGTCGGCATCTCCCGCCGACCGCTGCAAAGAAGCGCGACACAAGACAAGGGTCAACATTCATCAGGTAATACCAAGACCGCGACTTAAAGCTGTTCGATATCGGTAATGACCCGAAAATCACTAAAGCATTTACCACTTCACTGCGAGCATAGTGCCTCACTGGTATATCCTGTTTCCCAGAGTGGTCATAGAGAGTACCCCCTGCTACAGTAGGCCGAACTAGGTCCCTCCCCTCCACACGTTTCCCAGAGAAGCAACGGAACGCACCCCCTGCCGCTACAGGAGACCGGACTTGGTCCCACCCCCTACCCTCCCCACCCACCTGTTTCGCAGCGTAGATCGCACACCGACTAGCTACATGAGTCACGACTCGGTCCCTCTCCACCCACCTGTTTCTCCAGTTTGGCCAGCTCGCCCTGTTTCTCCTTCAGACTGGTCTCCAGCCGCTGGGCCTCGTCTCTCCGAGTCGCCGCCTCGGTCCGGGCCGCGGCCAGCTCCGCCTCCAGGGCCGCAGCGCTCTCCTTGAAGGCGGCCGTCTCAGCCTCTGCCCGCGCCGCCTCCTCCCTCAGCCGGGTGATGGTGTGGTGCGCGGCCGCCAGCTGGCTCTCGGCTGCCTCGAGCTGACCCCGCACGGCCGCGAGCTCGCACTCGGTCTGCTCCATACCCGAGCCCAGGGCAGGGCTGCCGGGGGTGGAGGTCGGACTGAGCTCCTTGTCGCCCAGGGAGATGTCGCCGTTTGGCGTGGTGTCCACTGGCGGGGGAAGAAAAAGGGGAGGTGTCAGTGAGTCAATGGGCTAAGAAGAATAGACAAGTAGCGTTAGGAGGTGCGTAACGTTATAGAAACGGTGATCAGTAATGACAAACTCGCATTGAACTGTTATTCATCACTGATGTATCGCACAATCTGCGGCAAGTGCAAAAAAGTTTGCATCTCTTTTGATTCGTCACTACTCAGGTTCATGACACCTACGCCCTACACATTGCATCAGCCGCGGAAGCCCGCATGGTTCCTGACTGCTCAAAACGGTGAACTTAAAACGCCCAGCACAAGGCTATTCCAGGTAGTATCCAGCTCGCAATAATACCCTGGAGACCCACCCGATCCCAGTGCTGCCATTCAAACAGAGCCCCATCCGGGCAGTAACAGGGACCGTTTCAGTCACGACAGACGTGAAGCACGCGGCCGGACAGCCAGCGCTAGTTTCTGAGAAAGACGGGGCATACGCCACCAGCGGCTATAATTCAACTGACATGACCGACGACCCTCGTGGTGACACGGATATCCTCATCCCGAGTCCGCTCGCTGTACTGTTCTCTCTCGGGTGGGATTGGACGTGATATTGTTCTAAATGGACGGAACTAAGATCCGGGTACGGTAGCCCTCCCATCTGGGACGATTATATGCTGAGAAAATTACTCAGCAGCACCCAGCTGAACTGGGCAGTTCCCTACAGTAACTCGTATGAGCATTTACCAATCACGGCGACAAGATTACTTCCTACTAACTTCATGCGCTATGCCAGTCATCAGGTCAGCGAGCATCCCACTTAAAACCACCCAACACACTATGCACATGCACCATCTCCCGACTTCCTTCCGACATCGCCAGTCACCACCCTCCCCGCGACTCACAGGCCGGTTTGTTCTGCATCTTCTGTCTGAGCGCGGTGAGCTGCTGCTTGGTGAAGTCGCTCTCTGCCTGCAGTACCTCGAGCCGCGCGCGCTGCTGCGCTTCCTCGATCCTCTGCTGGGCGGCCCGCGCCTCGGCACCGGCCCGCTCTACATCCCAGCGCATCTCGGCGGCCAGGGCCTCCTCCTCCAGCTCCTGAACAGAGACAGAGGGACGGGTTATGAAGTAGACGGTGCTGATAGGTCAGATATTAGGCAGCCGGGACGTGGGATGGATTGAAATTGGGAGTTGACATCAATTATTATCTCAATAGTAAACATTAATTTTCATTTTTCATTTCATTTAATAAATAAATAAATAAGGAATTTTCATTTAATAAGTATCAATTATCAGGATAAGAGTGAGATATCCTAATTGAACGCTACAGATCGGGCAAAGGGCAGTATTCTAATCGCTTCTTTACAGCGGGCTTTCCAAACTGTTTATATGCACTGCAGTCAGATTACCAGGCACATTGATCCGCAACAGCTCAGTCATCATCAATTTCAACACCATATCAGCAAAAACCAAACAGCACCGAGGCTGCTTGCTGAACAACAAAGCCTCTCACTCAGGGCCCTACCCCTCCACAATCCCCTGATGCGCCTCCCACCCCATACCGACCTTGACTTTGGTCTCCAGCTCGGCGACGGCGCTCTGTTTGGCCTCATACTTGGCGGCTAGCTCCGTGAGCTCCCTGCCGGCGGCGTCGCGCAGGTCGGTCTGCCGCCGACACTCGTCCTGCGCAGAGCTCACCGTCCTGGGTAAACAGAGCGGGGGCAGAGTCAGCGTCCGGGAGTGATGTCTCAGGGTATGGCCAAGGTCCGACGAGTACGGAAGCGAGTGCAAGTTAGCGTTGGGCTATTGTCAGATCCATTTTTACGAGCTCAACTGTGCTGAGGTTGTTAAGTCCACAGCGAGTAAAATAAGACGTAAAATAAATGACACCTGCCATTCAAACGACTGAACGACTAGACCGGCCTTAGAGCCAATATCAGCATATCAACGATGGCAACGGCGTTCGATTAATTGTGTGATTACCGAAGTTTAATAGCCCACCTTTCTAGCTCTTGTAACTTCCGGACGGCTTCCAACTTCTCCTGTAGCACCTTTTTGAGACTTTCTTTCGCCACATTCTGATACACATTCTTTTCTTCCTGTAGCCGCGCAATTTCCTCCCTCAGTTTATCCTCGCCGAAGTTCTGGAAACAGAGCCGTACAGTCGTGAGGACCTCATTTGACGGGAAATCACCGCCACGTCATGCAGAGCCGGAAAACACAGAGCGGTTCCGTCACACGCTCAATTATTAGTCTCCGTTTACGCGGCCCAGGTTGGCCATGAGTGGTGGGTAGCCGTCCACTACTGCGTATTGGCACGCTACTCGACAAAATATTAATAGCGCGCTTACTCAATAGACGCTCATTGACGTTACCTATTCATGAAGAGTACGTACTACTACGCCGACTACGTCCTCCAGTACTCCCAAAAGGCGGTAGTCATGCACGAAAGAATAACCACAAATCGATGACTAATACTGAATTTTAACAAGGGAAAAGTCGCATTGATTATATCTATTATCAAAGTCACCACTAGCAATGGCAATCCTTAGCACAAGTACGAGTACGTAACATGACTCGTACTTGTGAGCAACATGAGTCACAGGTGTCAAGTACCAGTCCGTAAGTACCGGCACACGGTAACACACAACTAACATTCACCATATCTAACCGATCCACTCCAACCCACACACCCATAATCACAACCACAGCCCGTCCCTCACCTTGGAGTATAGCGCGTGCTGTCCCTCGAGGATCTCGAGTCGGGTGAGCAGCCGGTCCTCGTCGATGAGCGCCTTCCAGCTGGAGTTGGTGGCCGTCTGCACGCCATCCAGCAGCCGCTGCAGCGTGGCCAGCTTGTTCTCCACCGCCCGCTCGCGGTGGACGGCTTCCTGGAACACGGCGGCGGAGCAGACATCGGTTAGAAGACGGTACAGGCAGTTGGTAGTCAAACGACACACGAGTGAGAGACGCACCGGTATCTACCTTCTTTCTTTTTACATAATCATTGATAAATTCGTCAGGTTGTAAAGACATACGGCCGTTTCTAATCACAAGGTCGGTGTTCAAGCGGGATAGTATGTGAACAAAGATGCATTAAGATGCATTTATGTCACTCGAATGTAGCGTCGACCACAAGCAACCCCAACCCCTTACCCGCGTTATCAGCCTATCAGGCGCATCAGACGGCGTTGATTGAGGAAGTTCCACCGCCCACCCGCCAGTCATACAGACACAACAGCCCCTTCCTACCAGACAGCATCCTCTCCCTTCTCCCCGCCGGCTGTACTAACACAGTCAGCCGTGCCAGCGGAGCCGTCCGATCAAACTGCTCGTAACTACCCATCAGACGCCGGATAACGGTGGGGGAGGGGAGGGAGGGGATGGTGACGGGCCGCTAGGACACCATAACGTCGCACCAGCGCCGGTCAAAGGGGTCGGGAGCTTCGAGAGGAGCTGCCGAGAGCTGCACAAGCTGCGATGGGCTACAGGTGGGACTAACGAGAACTGATGGATGGGCTTATGTAAGCGCTCCTCCCTCAGAGCTTCTAAAAGCTGCCGGAAGCTGCTGCCAGAGCTAGCCTACGTGTGGAATGTAGAGTGTGGAGCTCCTGAGAGTCGCGGCGGTCGTTCGCTGACAATGCGCCGACTGGCACAGAGAACTGAAACCATTGACCTGTACTGACGGCCGCGCGGCGGTGACAGCAGCCCTTTCTTGCGGACATCGCCCTTCGCCAGTGAACTACCTCAGAGGCGGCAGCTTTACTTCAGTTACTTATGTTTGATACTTATGATGATACCAACGATTATTTTATACTTTAAGTGTACTTAATTTTTCATTGTATTTTTCTTTTAATTCGATTATTAAAACTTCAGTTTATCATTATTTATGTTGCACCCGATGTTCTTTTTTCTTGTCGTGAATGACGTGTGAATGAGCTAGAGTGTGTGAGGGAGAGGTGCCATGAAATAAGCTGAATAGCTTTTGCACCGATCCCAGATTGCCTTGTCTATTTATGCGAAAATATTCAATAAAATCGAGCAAACAACAACAACAACTGACCTGGACGCACTGCTGCAGCTGGTAGAGCTCCTGAGACTGAATCGGGTTGGCCGGACTCAGGGGTATCGACGCGGTGCTGTGGGAGCAGGGGAGCGTAGTCAGCACACCTTAACTCTATTCAGTGAATCATCTTTCACAATAAGGGGCTGAAAATCCAGCGTCACAAACAAACAATAAGCCAAAGCGACTTCCGCACAGAACACAAAAGGATGAATACGGCACACAGCTTGCTGAAAAACCATACACCTGAACGCGAACAGCCTCAATCACATAATATTTGTCGATAACTTTTATAACCTTTGCCTAAGAGAAACAAATAGGTAGCTGTAGGAGCAATGAAAGAACATTAGCCGCCGAGAGACCGGTCTATTATGCGTTTATCATCCGGGTGGATCGTTTGTTATAAGTCGCCCAGGTGTTGCCATGTTGTCATACCGTCTGCCTCGGCGGGAGGTCTAACGCTGTGTAAACTATGCCAGAGCTGGCAGCGAACTGAACACCAACGGGTCTAGGCTGTGCCAATGACGAAATTAACAGACATCGGTATTCAGTATGTGTGCATATCACGACAAACAAGACAAATCAGCCGCTTGTGTTACGGGAATTTGAATGAAATAAAATTTCATATTTGAATGAAACTGTTATAACACGCAATGGCAAGAATAATTACCAAGCTCATCAACGATTCACGACAATCACAAATGCTCACATAAAGCAGCTGTGCCAAGGAGTCCCATGGGCCAAATAGCCAAGACAATAAGTCAAAACGGATGACATGACGAAGACGACAAGCGCACTGAGACACCACCAGGCACCAACAGACAGTTTTGGGAAGCTAAGGGGCCGGGGAAGGGAAACAGACACCGCGAATCTTAGCCTGTGCAAAGTGGTCACAAAATATGAGCAATTGGCCGTTTGTAAATTGGTACAAAAATAGGTCCAGTAGGTCGCATGTAACTGACGTAAGAAAAAAAAAACTAGGGAAAAAAGACTGACGAACAGGGTGCGATTGAGGCGGCAAACACGCGTCACATAACGGGCACCGTCCTCCACTCCTTCCAAAGCCAGCAGTCTGTGCTAGCAGATCGAGCACGCATTCTCCAAGCGAGCCGCCCGCCGTCCCCGTATCAGCGAGCGGCAGCCATCGGGCGACCGACCGACAGGATCCGCCCGGCCGGCCGGCCGACAGCGGGCGGGAACGCAGGGCGACCCGACCAGCTAGCTGGGACAGTCTCCTGGCACACACCGTTCCCCAGCACACACTGATACACTGGAGTGGGGCCTGCGCGGCCCGAGCGGGGTTACTTTACCCCAGGTGGGTGCAAGCACACGAACAAGTGGTCATGGACGGACACCATCATACCCAGGCGGCTAACACAACGAGCGGGCAGGAAAGTGTGGGTCTGACAAGGCAAGCGGGATGGAGCAAAGGGGAAGACGAGCGGTGAAGCGAGAGGGTAAAAATTCAGAGCAAATAATCAGATTTACCCCGAAAGCATGTCAGGACTTGATCCTCTGAAACGTCAATGAGAAAATGTTCACCTCAAGCAGCAATTAAACGTAGCTAAGATAGTAAGAGAACAGGCTAAGCGCTACATACTATCTACTTTGCTACTCCTACGATAACAAATTCGTACTCGTTCTACAATCAATCTCCATCGCCGAATGCTAGAAAATGACAAAATAGCAAAGGGGTTGCTTCAAGCTAGAAGAACAGGCTACTAAACAGAGCATTGAATCGCTATAGGGCATAAAACTGTGAATTAGCTGCTACTAGCCTCGCGAAGGCCTTACCTGGCTTTCGCCTCCTTCCCGTCGGGAAGATAGAGCTTGAGTGTGGCCACGATACACCCGTGCGTCACTGAAACTTACACACAAATGTGTTAGTCGAATGCTTGGGGACAGTAAACTTAAAATAGGGCGTTGAGTGACACAACCAATAATGATGAAAAAACGGAATGCGAACGAAAGGCAGTCCTAACGCGTGGCAATAACGAAAGGACTAGCAATTTATTCATAATTTTACTATCTAAATTATTAAGCATTCATAACACGGCTTCAAAGTCTTTCCCATTCCCAAGACAAAAGATAAGTATTATGTTTCAGAGCATCGACATCCCGTCCTTTTCATCGAGTTAACATATGGTCCGGACGTTCGAGTAACTTCCCCCTTCAAAGTTCATTCCTCATCCGTATTTCACTTGCGCTCACGCCCGTACCTTTTTTCGAGTTCTCCATGACATCGACGCCAAACTGGACGATGTCACCGGAGCAGAGCTCCCGAGGCGGCGACTCATCGGTGCCCTTGCCGAGCCGTTGGCTGTTGACAAACGTGCCATTGCTGCTCTTCGTGTCCTGGAGAAAGAACTGAAAGGAACCGCCGCCGGCGGCGCGCTGTCAGCGCCGTGACGCCACTATCGGCGACAACGGCGGATATGGCAGATCGGGAGGTCACCCAACAGACGTTATTGGTGGCGGGGAGGCGGTGATTGGCGGAGCATGGAGCTGGAACACGTATTGATGATAGCCGAGGATGACACGGCGGCGCAAGTTGATTAGCGGGTGGTAATGATCAGGTGACGGCGGAGCACATCATTAATTTATCGCACTGCCGCGGATCAGGATATTGGCCGGGTGAGCGAGCAGGATCTTGCGGTAAGATCCATACAAACACCTCACAACGTGCGCACAAGATCACACCACCTCCTAAGACCACTCCACAGGATGCTGATATGGTTTTTGTCCACTGCCGATCCTCACCTTGCCATTTTCAAACCAGAGCAGCGCGTGATTCCTGGAGAGCACCTTGCAGTCGAAGATGGCGTTGTTGGTGGCGGCGCGGGAGCGAGCCACCGACCGGCCGATCTTCTCCGGCTTTTCCAGGGTCAGATGACGATCCTGAGGTCGACAGAGGGCAGGGCGTCAGCATGGTGCACTGAGACTAGTGGATCAGGCAGCGTTGTATGCAGAGGCAGAGTGCAACAGCACAGTGCACCGGGGACGAGTGGAGGGTAATTCAAAGTAACGGCGCTTCAAATAAACGTGCGCTTAACGCGGATGTAGGTCATATATGTACGCCAACGTGGACACAACAGACATGGGCGACAGTCGACAGATCATGATGGATTTTGGCTAAATCACTGTCCAGTGACCACTAGAAACGGCCTTCAGATATCTCGGAAGACGAGAGCCGCGGCCTGCACTTCATGGTCGGGTGATTACGACTGCAGTGTAGAGCTGACGTCACACTGATCAATAAACCCACAAGTGACAAACGAGCTCACAGTGGCAAGTCGCAGGAGCGGAGATCGAAGGCTATTACGGAACGGGGCTTGATGACTGGTAAAATACACGTCCGTTTTAGTTTTCTGAACACTGCTATACAAACAATAGACAGAAACGATTTTTCAATAGGCACGTTGACATAAAATGAAGCCGATGCACCGACTCTATCAGCAAACGAGTAAATATGAAAAATGTGCCATAAGAAGTAGCGTTGCTCTTAACAAAAATAATCACACTATCACATCAACATATCACTTACATTACAATTTTAACACCTCCGTTTCCTTACATTGTTTTCATTTTCCTGATACCTAAAACCACGAGAGCATTCACCCTCTTCAGACACCTGTTTCACGTTAGGCACAGTGTCAGCTGTTAAGTGTTTTCACATATATAACTCATAATATACTCATCAACCGTAACGGTAACGAGACCAAACCATTTACCAACGCTACATAATAAGTGTGACATCATATCCCAACATCACACGCTTCTACACCGCAAACAAGATAAAACACTCAGCAATGTGTATTGTGAGCAAGGAGGGACGTTCGGTTCTGTTTGCGAACGAGGAGCAGAGAAAGCAAAGTGCACGGATAGGGTACGTTGCACAACACGCCTAATGATAAACAGTGAGACTCAAAGTGCAACAGAGCGGCGCCCGGGCAGACGGACGGCACTGCACGGAGAGCAGATGACACCGACGGCTTTACAGGTCAATGTTGCACTTAAATCCCAGGATAAATGCTGCTCCGGTCAAATTCAGTCGTATTTTTTTTCATTCAGTCCCTTGAATTTGCCGGCAGTTCAATTCAAGAGAGAGCAGGCCCTCGGGAACCGCATCTAGCGAAAGTGGTAATAACGGCAGTTCTTCGAACACATTTTTAAGCAGCATTAATTACTCCAGTATGCATCGCATAAAATGTACAGCGTACCCATAGATATCTTCTTTTGCGGCGCATGTCAAGCATTGCGCGCTATCTTATCTCATAGCCGATTTTGGTGGAATGCCGTCGGCAATGTTAGGGTAGCTTACGTAATGCTAACAACGGTCATAGGACATTCCTGCTCGACAGCATGAGCTGAGGAGTCGAAACTAAAGTTTAAGTGCGTCTTATCGGGGGGATCCAAAGAGCAAAACTGAGCCGTCACAGCTGAGTGATAAATAATAATTCTACAGAACGCCCTCATACTCAAATAAGCATTGCTATGCACAATCGACCAAAAAATAAGTCACCAAAATAAGACATATGATTGACGGCATTACGACCATAACACAAAGAACCCTACGACTATCGCTCACGCTTGTTTTGCGTGCGCTACTGATCAGAAGCGACGCATTGCCCTGTGCGCCCGGCCGCCGCCTCGCGTGTGTCGCCTGCGGATGGCGGCCGTCTGATAACGGAGCGATGCGTGATGTCCGGCGTCTGTCAGCGCGTTCGGCACGCGTCCGTCCGTCCGTCCATCCGTCCGGTGAGATGACGGTATGCGAGCGTCCAACCGGTATAGGCAGCTACAGCGCCGCGTCACGCAGATAGGCAGTGTCGACCTCAGTTGCATCATTGCATTGCACCCTTGCATTGCACCCTTGGTCCATGATTCATTACATCCAGCGCACAGCACCGTCCACCGCTCCACCGGGGAGGGGTCGCTCGCCGCATACACTCATCACTCCACCACCTGCCTTCCAAAAGCTTCACTCCACCACTCGCCGTCCATTATTCCATCACCTGCGAACCACCGACCTCCCACAGGCAACGTCCCGTCTCCCCACTATAAGAATCCCTTCACCCACCACCCGCCTGCCGTCGCCCTGGAGAGCTCCGCACACATTCCTGAATCGTCCTATGGCGTCACAGTGCGCCAAAAAGCGCCCGCTGCCCGGTACGGAACCGGTATGGGCGAGGCCGTCCATCCATCCGTCCGCCGGGCCAGCCAGGGTGGCTCTGGGCGGCACCAGAGTCACCGGTACGGACTATAGCCGCCGCGCTGGTCAGGGGATACATTTACACCGGAGTGAGCCGTACGGGTATATGAAGTTCCGAAGATAGTTTTGTGCAGGGATCAGTGTGTGCTGTATGAGTGCGCGTTGCGACACACAAGAAAAAGGAGCGGGTTTTTCGTCAGCCTGCAGAGTGAAAGTAAGACGCAAGTTCGAGCTGGTTGCTAGAGCCATAAGCATGCTGTGGCGTTTTGTTGGGGTATTTGTTGAAACATAATACACGATGCTCCTTGTTGAGCGAAGGCCTGGCCGATGGCCATGTCCCACCTGGTGCGCGGGCGTCGGGTGGCATCGTGACCCCAAATAAGGTGCGTGATGTGCCATATCAAGACTGCAGCATATAACGTGATAACACAGTCCAACTACCCACACACGCCCTGTGTGACACCGAACACACATATTCCCTCACGCAACATATCCACGCAACACCCCCATGTATCCCCCAACCTTCCATACCACCCCCACCAGCGGCAGTCTCTCGTCCAACCAACCAGCCGGCCGGCTGACATCGAAGCCGTCATACACATCATCATCATCATCATCATGCTTCTCGCCGTCATCATCGCCATCATCATCATCATCGCCTCACCTGGAATGGATGCGAGTTGGGCCGACAGATGAGGGTGGCCCGTGAGACCATCTTGGTGGCGGGGTCGGTGGCCGTGCCGATGAGGGAGTCGGGCGCCGGCTGGTGAGGCCAGACCCCTGGGCCGCGCGCCGGGTTGATGACGACCATCTACGTGGGAGCCGAGCACCACGCGCCACGCCCGGGCATCACCGGTTCACACTGTGAGGGAGAGGGGCGGTCAGCGTCGAGCGACGGGCATCGGGATGTATAAAGTAGGTGGAAGATATAGCATTGGATAATAATGCATGGGAGCACTCGCAGGTGTCCTCTATTGTTGCCAGGTGGCCGCAGGGACTTGGCTAACGCTAGTGGACATCTTCATGGTCAGTGTACCATACTACATGGATGAGATAATAATGGATTGGTGTCTTCGCAGTTTTTGGCGACATTGAGCTCAGGCCTGCCATCTAGCGGGAGAATTGTCGTAAGTTAGGAGCAAGCCGAGTGAACGCTGCTGATTAGCATTGTGACACACGGGAGTGTGGTGTAGTAGCAGGCTTGTTGTGCAATTTTTCAAAAGGTTATGTCTTTATATGCTAGTAAAAGCGAAGAAATTAATAGATTTATGTGCAGGGTCAGTAATAAGATAAGCAGTTCCATGTTATTTTCTCATTAAATCGTGAAACAGGGAGTTATTGAAGACTTCGCCAGCACGTGTCGTTTTCGCTATTTTTCACATGAGTCTTTACTTGGCCTAAATCAAACAAATTGTCCGATCAAACAACAAAACGAACGTAAGTACTATCTATAAGTCTAATGAAAAACTTAAACGGAATTGCTAACGTCATTGCCGCTCAATATGTCATTCAAGGCGCTCTATGAAAAGGACCCAACCGGTGGTGCGTAGTCGATGAAATTTCAGTAACTTTGGCTCCAACTCCGATTCCGGTATCCAAATATCGACTCCGACTCCTCCGGGCAGAACTGTCAATTTACACAGACTCCGAATCTGACTCCGACTCTGCAGCCCTGGTAAGTCTGTGGAGTGATGACTTTTCGGTGACGTTCGACTCATACTCGGGCTACAGCTTTTAAAAATCAACCGACTCCGAGTCGGAACAGAACCGCTGGCTCTGACTACAACTTCGCAGCCCTGGCCCAAGATAGCCGCCTAAAACAACTTTTATGTGTAATCTTCTTCGTACATTGTTAATGTTATTTTAAACAAGGGATGGAAAAGGGAGACGAAGCCTTCGCAAACAAGGATCTCCTGTTGCGAATCAATCAGCTGCTGGAAAAGAAAGGCATAGGTAAACACCACGCATCTCATTTCATCGTTTTCCTTACAGCTCTGCACCAATGTAAGCACTGATCAATGCAGTGCGAGCATCGATGTGACATTTGTGTACCAAGTTTGAGTGTTATCCGCCCAGCCGTTGTTGAGATATGGAAGCGGCACCCCGCACGTGCGCACGTGCAGTAGCACCCCCATAGTGACACATGGAAATGCATTGGCCACTGGGTGCCTAACTATTGACGAAGTTTTACTGTAATTGGCCCTGCCATTGCGGAGTTACTTTATGTGGAACAATTTCGACACCCCTAAGTTGGCACGTGACACGTGCCGTAACATTAACTAAGATGAAGAAAATCGGGCGAAATTCGGAGAAGAAGGAATAAGCCTACCAAATATGTAAGTGACATATTGTCAAACTGCTGTACCATTGTGAGTAAATGACCATATAAAAGGTCGTACAAGCCGATGGGACTGGGCGTTTCAATACACACTGTCTTACGCATTTTATTTTCGTTATTACCTAAAGGCTGCTTGACGTTTTTTGGCTTTCAAGCATTTAAGACGTTTTTTGTCGTCTCAGGTTCAGTAAGATTACCTCCAACTCGTGGGAATATGCACTTCAAGCCAACTAACACACCACACCCACGTGTGTCATAATGCTGAGAGATGGCGTTCACTCGGCTTGCTCCTAACTTACGATAATTCTCTCGCTAGATGGCAGGCCTGATCCCAATGTCGCGGATCCCAATGTTAATTTCCACGAGACACCAATCCAGTGTTATCTACTATACTATTTGTGAAATGAAACTCTGTATGTGTTTCTGTGTGTTTGCACCGTGTAGAGGGGTACTTTGACGCCGTGCACAGGTCAGACGGTGCGGTCGATGGGGCTGAAATTTTCGCAGGGTGTTGATGACGTCATGGGCACGTGCAGTGTCGAGATGCGAGTCCCGGGGGGTGGATGGTTCGCACGTGGCACGCGCTGGAAAAAGGTGCTTTTCCTCGGAATTTTGCTCATTCTTCAAGGCATCGGCAGCCGGGTTCAATGCACTTTGCAACTAAAATGCATGGCAAGCGGCGGCGGGTGCCTCTCATTTGCAGATTGGCAAGTTATTGATTTTGATAAACAGAGGCGAATGAAGGTGTTGATTTACGGTAAATAAAGACAGATTTCAATGCGCTTAACCGTATGCACTGCGTTTGCCGTAGTGCGCCACATTTGTCACGAGGTGCCATTTTTGCTGCAAATCGCACAACTTTGTCAAATATGGTCCGATAAAGGAGCAATTCGGTGGAAGGATGCATGACAAAATGACAGGTACAAATGCGCCACGTTTGTCGCAACGCGCCACATTCGTCAAACGGCGCTATTTCCACCAAATATGATTAAGAATAATGGAATTACACGAGTAGGGGCACGGTTAGGAACTCTTTTTAGTTCGTCAGTTTATATGATAATCTGTGACCTCACATGACCCAGTGGTAGTGGTGGTAGTGTAGTGGTAGTAGTAGGGGTAGTGGTAGGGGTAGTAGTAGGGTAGTGGTAGGGGTAGTAGTAGGGGTAGGGGTAGGGGTAGGGGTAGTGTTGGGGGTAGTGGTAGGGGTAGTGGTAGGGGTAGTGGCAGGGGTAGGGGTAGTGGTAGGGGTCGTGGTAGGGGTAGTGGTAGGGGTAGTGGTAGGAGTAGTGGTATGGGTAGAATTATATAGAAGTGTGGCACAGGCCGATCCAATGTGACGTGGTGACCTATACGACCTGACCGAAGGTGACCTGGCCTGACCCAGGGATGACCGACTTGACCTGACTTGACCCCGTATGACCCAAATTTTATCAAACTTAGCCATCAGAATATTCCTTTATATATCTGCTTCCAGACGGCTCATCGGTATGAATCAAACACCATTCGAAAGCAAACTGGCTGCTGCGTATTTTATGGCTACGCCGCGAAGCAAGTGGCGCAGCCGCTTGTCTACTATACTATTTGTAGAATGAAACTCTGTCTGTTTGTCTGTTTGCACCGTGCAGCGGGGTGCTTTGACGCCGTGCACAGGTCAAACGGTGCGTTCGATGGGGCTGAAATTTTCGCACGGTGTTGATGACGTCACGGGAACGTGCAGTGTCGAAGTTCGAGTCCCGGGGGGTGTATGGTTCGCACGTGGCACGCCCTGGAAAAGTGCGTATTTCCTCTCAAATTTGCTCAGTCTTCAAGGCATCGGCAGCCGGGTTTGATGGACTTTGCAACTAAAATGCATGACGATCGGCGGCGGGCGCCTCTCATTTGCAGATTGGCAATTTATTTATTTTGATAAAAAAAGGCGAATGAAGGTGTTGATTTTCAAATAGACAGTTTTCACTGCGCTAACACAAATGCGCCGCGTTTGCCGTAATGCGCCACATTTGTCCACATGCGCTATTTTTGCCGCAAATCGCACAACTTTGTCAAATATGGTCCGATAAACGTGCAATTCGGTGGAAGGATGCATGGCAAAACGTCAATTATAAATGCGCCACTTTTGTCGCAATGCGCCACATCTGTCACAAAGCGACATTTCCACCAATTACGATTAAGAATAATAGAGTGAGAAGATTAGGAGCAAGGCTAGGGACACTTTTTTTAGTTTATCAGCTTATCTGATTGTCTGTGACCTCACATGACCCAATGGTAGTGCTAGGTGTAGTGGTAGTAGTAGTGGTAGGAGTAGCGGTAGTATAAGGGGTAGTGGTAGGGGTAGTGTTAGGGTTAGTAGTAGGGGTAGTGGTAGGGGTAGCGGTAGGGGTAGTAGTAGGGGTAGTGGTAGTGGTAGTGGTAGGGGTAGTAGTAGTGGTAGGGGTAGTAGTAGGGGTAGTGGTAGGGGTAGTGGTAGGGGTAGGGTAGGGGTAGTGGTAGTGTTAGGGGTAGTGGTAGTGGTAGGGGTAGTGTTAAGGGTAGTGGTAGGGGTAGTGGTAGGAGTGGTGGTAGGGGTAGTGGTAGGAGTGGTGGTAGGGGTAGTGGTAGGAGTAGTGGTATGGGTAGAAGTAGTAGAAGTGTGGTACAGGCCGATCCAATGTGACGTGGTGATGGTGACCTATACGACCTGACCTGACCGAAGGTGACATGGCCTGACCCGGTGTGACCAGGGATGACCAACTTGACCTGACTTGACCCCGTAAGACCCAAATTTTATCCAACTAAGCTCTCAGAATAGTTATTATGTTCAAATTTTTCTTCTGCACGTTTCCGTCCATATCTCTGCTTCCAGACGACAGATCAGTATAAATCAAACACCATTCGAAAGCAAATTGGCTGGTGCGGCATTTTCTGGCTACGCTGCGAAGCAAGTGGCGCAGCCGCTTGTCTACTATACTATTTGTGAAATGAAACTCTGTGTGTGTGTTTGCCATAGAGATCTTATATACATAGAGATGACATGCACTTAAAATCGTGGCGATTCAGTGGGTCTTTTTAAGCAACTTATTTTCAGCCAGTAGCGTGCCAATATAGCTGAGGCATTGTTAGTCTGAAGAAATTGTTACGTAGCGAGCGAAGCAAGCGTAGTCTTTCGTAGATTAACGGAAATTTCTGAGTATGAGCGGCCGGCCGGCCGTGGTTACGCTTTTGCGAGGCTTATATCTCAACAACCACTTGACCGATTTACAATCGATGATTTTTCTAGGGTAGCTTCATTCCTTCTACCAAGTATTGGACTATTCTCGATGCATGTGCGTGACCGCTTATGCACGTGCCACGTGCAAAACGAAGAGGTGTCAGTTTTGCAATTGTTGCAATATCTTGGTAACTACTTGGCCGATTGCGCTGAAAGTTGGTATGTAGGTAGGAACCCACTAGGCAATGCATATCCATGTGCCACAGTTGGGGTGCTGCTGCACGTGCGCACGTGCAGGGGTCGATTCCAGATCTCGAGAACGGCTGAACCGATTGTGCTG